GACCAGCTCACATTGGCAATCGTGCCAAATCCTCTGTCATATCACGATCACGACTCGCCAAGACAATACTTCCATTGTTGTACTGAAACAGTACACAATTGTGAAACATTACAGTGATTGAATGAGATATAACAGGATCATCGAAACATGCTACACAATTAATAAATGTCAAAATAAATGAATAATTAATTTTAATTCTAGATAAACGTAACAGTTTACAAACAAAATGAGGATGTAACTTTTTACTATGGGTCAAAATAAAGAGAAACTTATGGATAAATATTTTTCCAAAATCGTTTTGTTGACTAAATATTTGCCTTTTTTTGTATATTTTACATAAACATTTGTTTATTTCAGTCGTTCCAACGGATCGTTATGAAACTTGATATCTATATTTAGGTAGAAGAAACTTACCTATGTCAGAAACAAACTAACTTGGTCCAATTCAAAATTTTTAAATGGTGGAATTTTTTCCTTAATTTTCTTTTTATTTTGGCCCATAGAACTATTTCCTGAACGGCTTGTAGAGATCAGTTCTATGAACATTAGCGTACATTCGTATTATACCGACCTCACCGATAAATCAACTTACAAATAAGAGTTTAATTAGTTTAAATAACCAAACCTTTCTAACCTAACCTAACCTAAGGGTTTTTACCAATTTAGGTGTGTGTTCGGAATCATATGAAAGTACCAAAATAAGTCAGAGGATTACTAGTTTAAAACCATTCATTATTAATTCGAGCACCAAATTGAAGACGGATTATCGAGTACATGTAACTAAAACATTTGTTATCATACACGCATCAACAGATAACACGGCGTGTATATACTTTATATACCTATACAAGCTTTATATACTTAGATTTCTCAGTCTAGGCGTCATAAATGTGTAAAAAACATTATTTCTACATTCAGGTTTGAAGAAGAAGTGTGGGACAACGGAATAGTTGACAGTAGTTTTCTGTTAATTTGGCCATCTACGAGATTTGAATAATGTCTAAATTTGATTACGTATGCTTGTATATCCGGGGACATAGAAAAAATCCCTAAATAAATCAAAAAGGCTATCAAGTGACCCGTTTTCACCTGTTACCTCTTGTTTTTTACTAGGTTTATTATTGTAAGTTGGTCTATTTAAACCTTTCACTTTGGATTATTTTCTGTGATTGGCAGATTTGTTTAGACTGTCCAGGTAATGCAGTTTTTCAGTTCAGTACGAAACATCTTCTTGGTCTGTCAAACCATAACAATAGTTTTAGCCAATGCTATAAAAAACTATAACTTGATTGAAACTACTATATCCTCTTTTACTATGCCTCTATAAATAAAAACAGGCATTATGTTCATTTCACTGTAAAACATCCTAAAAAAGAGGCCCCTTCCAATTTCCCTAAAACATTTTATTTATAACTTGAATGAGTACTGTGAAATACGTCCTATTCTATTAACTCTATCTCATGATGTTTTTTTAATTCATTAAAATTTTACAATATATTTTACTTGCGGACAATGTATACTTATTTTGCAAAACCCCAAAAAGTTCATGTATGACGCCGTCGACACCGATTCTATTGACTATGGGAGTCCGTTTTAGCATGTCCCATATAGAGAATAAGCTATTGCCATAGGTCTCATGGTAATACCTCGACCCGGGCCCGATTTACTTTTTCGTTTTGAGGTCCTCAGAGGCCAAAAACACCATCCGTTCAAATCCATATATATTTATTTATATATATGTGTCCGTTAGCGCGATAACTCGAGCAAAAATGATCCGATTTTGATGAAATTTGGTAAAAACGTGTAAACCTACGTTTATTCAAACGAGTTCGCGAACCAGCATAATCGGACTATGGGAACGGGGGTTTATGGGGGATTTTATGGATTAAAAATAGATTTTTCCCCTTTTTGACCCTAAAAACACAAAATTTCATAGTTTCTCTTCAAACCATTTTGTAGAGCTTAAAAAAATAAAAATTTGTATATTGAAGCGTTGTTGTATGGTAACGGTTACGGAGATGGTTAAAAAAGTTGTAAATTTAAAATCCCCATGTTATTCTTATGGATAATAAATAAACTGTTGTAGTTTGCTTGTTTATGGGTATATTTTAATCAAATTTGGCAATTTTTGTTTATTTCATACAAAGCTGTCAACATTTCAATAAAAAAACACACCTCAATATCTTCGCTGTAGCAGCAAACCTAAGTACTCACTAAAGTTAATGTTATTTAAGTAGGAAATAAATCTGACAATTTTTAGGGAATATTTTAGTAGAAATCCAGCCTAAATGGAAATTCCAGGGTAAATGGAAATTTGCTTAGTCTGTAGGTTTGCTAGGGCGGGGGTATTTTTGTATTCACCAGGTTTTATATAGGTATAGAATATTTAGACTTAATGGTATTTCCTGACAACAATTAATGGACTTAAATTGTTCGTTGAAGGCTTTACATTTTTTTAAAAATAAGGAGGTCTATAATCTACTTTTTGCTTATCTGACTTTTTGTTAATAACCTTAATCCTTAATCTAAAATAATCCCTGTTACTCAATTCTTGTTTTAATTTAAAGACTCCGATCTTTAACCTTTCTTTAAGTTATTTTTATTGTACTCTTTTAAATGTCCTACACTTGATGTATATAACATTATTGTGTACTCGGAACAGGCTTTATTCAGTGCCCGAAATTTGTAAAACGCAATTCCCGCTCTACACTCCTGTATTTCAAGGCGTTCCTGTTCATCGTTTGATTGTTTACAAATCGTTAAAACCAAACAATCAATTAATCCCTTTTGTAATTTTAATTATGTTCATTAATTTAAATTAATTAGGGTTGACTATAACTGCAAGAACTAAAATAAAATGCAAAAGTTCAATAGCAGTATGAAAATTATTTTATAACATTACACATAGAAATAAATCGAAGAAAACAACCAAATTTGTCTACTGTTATTAAACTGAATTTGGTTTTACTGTGAAAAATAAACGGAAGACAAGGTACTGGGTTTAAATCTTAATTAAAAAAGGGATGCATCAATTTGCCACCACCTTGTGCCACAATCTATTATAAATTAAATTTAAATTGTTTTTTAAGTGAACTGTTTTCCTGTCTTTTTATGTAATTTCGAAGTTTCAGCTTAGATAAGCTTGGATATATATTGTTCCTAATATTGAAATTGTTATTGCTTACTCGTAGATTTATTGTAAATGTTATCATCTAATTTTTAACTTGGATTTGTAAGTTTTTATTCTGATGTTAATTTTTAACATTTGCTCAGATTAAGACGCTACAAACTTAGTCCAATCAATATATCAGCGTGTTTGCGGGGAATAACAACGATACGATGGATTTATAATCCAATTCGAGATGATTTTATAACCAATGTATAGTTAACTAAAATTTCTCCCGTGACTGACAGCAGGCTGCCTGGTCTTTGTACGATAACTCCCTGCCAGTTTTTACAGTTTTGATAATTACCTGATATGGCTGATCTTCTACTATTTATTCTAGATAATGTACAACGTAACACTGTTTTTGTAAGCTCACCCTCCTCTCTAGAATTGCGGCTAGGTAAAGAAATATATGTCAGGGTTTTGTTATAGGATTTATTTACCTATTTCTGCCTGAAGGTCTTAAGTGATGTTGAAATTACTCTATGGGCATTACGCCGTTTAGTGCGGTATCTTCATGGAGATTTTCTTCTTACACCAATTTCTTATTCTTACACTGTCAAATTCAGTTTAATGTGTTTATTTGCCCTCCCCTTTTATACGACCCATATTGAATGTAAGATAAGAATGATGTTCATGAGCATTTCAATAATTTTACCTCATAACCTTATAGATTTATGTTTTACACATTAAAACTGGGCTATTTTACTGTATTTTCGTGTATCATAGCATAGCCTACTGTATTAGAATACTCTTTAATTAAATACCCTGATTACAGACCCATACAAGCCAAATGTGAGAATCTGATGAAAAAAACAATGTACTGTACAAGTGTACATAGGTAGTGATATTCGCGTGCCTTCCTTGATAGTGGCGTATGTTAAACATTTCTCCCTGTTAGGAATCATTTTTTTTTATATAGGCCATTATTATAGATTTAACCTCCTAAAACCTCCTTTGTCACTTTTTACGGTCCAGCTGAAGTCATGATAGGAATGTTTATGGTAAATATTTGCAGAGTGCTTCTCTTTCCTCTTTATTTATTGTCATTTATTTTTATAAACTTGAATAAGATACCATTATAAGAGAATATCTGTTTATAAACTATAGCTATTGTAAGTATGTCCTCTTCTATTATAACCAGAAAGGTAAGCATGCGTTTTATAGGTACCATTAAATAAAAGATAAAGATGAAGTTGACATCACGCCAACTACGCTTATCGGACAAGGGACATTAAGATTAAATGCACACACCAATGGTGAATAAAATTGTACAAGTACAATATGATTAGACTCCTGACTCATGCTTGCAATACACAAGGCTAATGAAACATTTCACTGACTACAAAATCATTACGAGTATAACACGACTAATTCATATTTGTAAACCAACTAGCCTCTGGTATTATGACCAATGAGTAAAGTCTTAAGTGTATCCTCTAACACTAAAACTAAAATCTACCCTAAAATATTTGCAGGTTCTATATTAATATTTGTTATTGGCTTATGACGTATTATATTACTGAAATGTTTGTACCATAGCATAAATACAAGATTCTTTCTTTTAACAATATGAAAATACAAATTGATCACAAATTTAAAAATATATTTTTTTATATTGGTACATGTACAATGTATTAGCTTTTGTATAGTGTTGAACAAAGTTATTTTCATTATTCCTTTTATACTACGTAGATCATCACCTGACGACGGCTTGTGTTTTTCCTTCAGTTTCAGCTGTCAACTTTTCTTCTGCTCTTCTGCTACAGTTGTACAATTTGAGGTTAGATATGATAAAGCAAGAGGTCAACTTTGTTTTGGGTTTTGTTGATAAAAGTTTAATGATGTCAGAAGATAATGAGAATACTTGTTTGTCATGTTTACGCTATCATAACTTGGCTCAATACCCAAATGGATGAAACCGATCAGTGGGATTTTCAATAAAGTGGTACATTTATTTAATTTCAACTACTTTAATAACAATGTTTCGACCATCATTGAAACGTATTACTTTTAAAGCCTTTAAAAGTAAAAACAGGAATATTTTTGGAAGACAGTTTGGTGTTCAGATTGGCAGTGAACCTGACAAGAGCTCAACTCTCTACAAGGTAGGATTAGTAGAGTGAATAAATAACTATAGGAGTTAAAGGATGGGATGTGACAAATCTAAGATATGTTTACCAAGATAGGTTAAGCTCTCATAATACAAAAAATATCTTACATAGGATATTCAAAATGTTAAGTCTTGAAAGGCCACCGTTTGTGACAAATTAAGCTAAGTTATGTTGCTTAAAATTATCTGGCGGGAAGACAGCAGGTGGTCTCCGTTGAGGGTGCAACATCTAAGTCCAAAAGTGTCAGGTACGGTGTTCCTCAGGGATCGATTGTAGGCCCGTTACTATTCCTTGTAATGATCAACGACCTTGATAGAGATGGAGGGGTGGTGCTCTTTGCCGACGATACAACCCTGATATCACGGGGACCCCAAGTTGAGCTGTCCACAGCAGATGCAAACCGGCATCTCACTGAAGCATCCTGCTGGTTTGAAGGAAATGGTTTCCGGCTCAACCAGGATAAAACCCAGACACTGGTCTGCAGTCTGGCGAGAAATGCCCCACGGGACGAGCCAGTGAAGCTCCTTGGATTTCATCTGGATAGGAAGTTGGCGTGGAACGATCACATCAGCAAAGTTAGTAGCAAACTTTTTAGGGTATGTTGCCTGCTGCTCAAGCTACGAAATTTCATCACTCAGCCATACCTGCTGAACATCTACCATGCTATGTTCCACTGCCATGTGAGCTATGGCCTACTGCTATGGGGCCATGCTGCGGATGTTGAGGACATCTTAGTGCTGCAAAAACGTGCTGTAAGACTCATTACTTTTAGTGACCGCATTGCCCACTGTAAACCCATCTTCGCAAGATTGGGAATCCTCACAGTCTACAGCCATTATATCCTGGCTTGCTCACTACTGGTATATGACAATTACGACAATCTCCAACTCCGTTCAGCATTTTCATAACCACCAAACAAGGCAGCCTACTGGACAACAAGGAGCTACTGGATGTGCCTAGGGTTAGGCTTGCAAGATCGCAAAGGAGCTATAATACAGTGGCAATTCAAATTTTTAATAAGCTGCCTCACTCGATCAAGCGTCTTGGGCGTAAACTTTTCATGAAGAAGCTCGTCCCTCTCCTTAAGTCAAGAGCGTACTACTCACTAAAGGATTTTTTTGAGGATAGTTTTCCTGAATTGTCTGGCTAAACCGCATATCCACATGCCAAAGTTATTGTAAATATATGTTTGTATCTACTCAAATTCAGTTTGTTATTATGTATTTTTGTATATATTGAAATTCTGACGCCATCAATCCCTTATTGGGTAAAAGATGAAGACATGGTAATAAGGTAATAAAAAATTTGTTAAGTAGCCTATTTTAAGGCATAATAAACAATTTTGTTGTGTAAAATGTAGGCTACAAGGTAAGCCTATACTCAGAATTAAACTGACCTGTTCTGTATGATTTCAGGAAAACTATGCTGATATGCAAAACTTAGTTAATCAATTAAAAAATCATATCTCGAATGCTGAAAAAGGTGGTGGCCAAGCTGCCAGTGAACGGCATACTTCCAAAGGAAAACTGACTGCAAGACAGAGAATTAATACATTATTAGACCCTGGATCTCCTTTCCTAGAACTATCTCAGCTGGCAGCGTTTGAAATGTACCAGCCTGACAATGTAGCGTCCGGTGGAATCATTTGTGGCATTGGAAAGATTTGTAGGTAAAATATCACCATGTGTAGAATTTTAGAAGCAAAACTTAGAGAAATTTTAAGACCCAAAGGATCTGTGAAAACTGTTTATTTTTAACTTAGGTGTTTTCTAGCTCTACCTACTTTACAAAATGTTTTCATATGAATGTTATTATTTTTTTTTAATGTTTTACAACTGGCCTCACTACCCTTGGCTTTTGAAAAGTTGTTCTTTTTAGATTTAGATTTTGTGGGATCCAGTGATTTTTAAACATTAAAGATTCTGCTCTGTTATCAATATATAATAGGCTACCGTTTTAAGAATAAGCAAAGTATATTTAGGCCTACAAGGCCTAAATTATGCTGCAATTTTGTGTTTGTTCTCCAGTCACAACAAAGCCTGCTTGTTTGAATATGACCCAAGTGGCGGGTTATTTAACTTACTGTAATGGAAGTAATGGAAGAAGTCATTACTATTCTAGCCCGCCTCCATCCTTGTGCCACCGTCAGTTTCGAGGCATTTGTTGTAGGCAATAACGAAAGTTTAGCAAATTTAGCATGTGGCTCGCAATGTGACTGATTGATAGATTGCTGAACTGATAGGAGACTCTATAAGACTAATGCGATAAGTCCTGATGGTCGCACACCGTTCTGCAAGCGAAGTTTCCTAAACTGTTATCATCAAACCTATGTACCTCCACTCTAGCCTTATAAAAAAAACATATGGCCTTCTATGAACTTCCTAAGCAACTTACACTCATTGGTTACATGAAACAAATTTCTCTAAACACTTCCATCCATCATCTGTCAAGGATTTCAGTAGGCCTACAGGTTTATAGCCTTCTCTCAGAAACCCAATTTTAGAACTCAATCCCCAGGATAGCAGATGAGAACCCAATTTATGCTCGGCAGGGACGACCATTTTCTCTTACAGCATTATCAACTAACATGACAAGGCTAATCGTCGCATAAGAATTATATGGAGCTAGAGTAGTAGTGGGTGAAGTAAACAATATGATGCTGCAGTCAGATGTGAACTAGTTCACTTTTCTGTGACTGGAACTTGTTAAATACCTTAATTTATTGACAACCCCTTATACAGGCTTAAATTATACGGCTCTCATAGTCAACCACCATACTATTCGTAACTAAATACTAAGGGGTAGTTTCCCAGTGTAAAAGTTATAAACGCTATGTTTAGACTAAGCTGTAACTGTAAAATAAGTCTCTAGAGCTTAACTCTAGGCTAAGCCTAACTTTGTTCTATTACAGTGTATTTTCATAATGGACGTTTAAACCTCTCACATATTTTGTATATCCAGGGGATGGATCCCTTCCATTTTGCATCGATGGGTTTCTAAAAGGACTAGGCTAACAACACATCCTTTTAAATCTTCTAAGACATGTCTTCACTTAATGTATGGTTTGAAAAGATTATTATTAATATTTGAACAAGTCCGTATTTTCTTAATCTCATTAGATTATACTTTTATCCTATCTAAATGGTAAACTTATTTTTATTACGTTTGATTTTTGTTTCATATTTTGCTCTGTTAATGTAAATAATCTTTTCATAGTGCACTTGTAGTTTAATTTATTACAACAAATTGTTTTTTTTTGTTTTTTTTTTTGTGGAGAGGAGGTTAAAATGTGTTTACACACGCTGAGATGCTCAATGTCCTCTCAATAATACCAGACTCCCGCGGCTCAATGTCCTCGGACTACCAGCTGAAAAACAAGAATATGGTGATTTTTTCTGATTGTCAAGCTGCTCTTCAAGCTCTTGACTCCAATGAAGTCAACTCAAAGCTAGTTTACGAGTGTTTCAACACCCTCTGCAAGCTTTCCCCACGCAACTCTGTAACTCTCGGCCGGGTCCTGGGCCATGTTGGCGGCAACTAGAGTGCAGGTAAGCTGGCAGAAAAAAGTGCAAGCATGCCATTCTTGGACCGGAGCCTTCTGTGGCATCAGCAAAGCTACTGCTAAATAGCCAATCAACATCAATCCACATCAACATTAATGTTGGTTGGTCCAGGGGACAACATCTAGAGCGTTGGCGTAATTATCCTGGACAATCACTTGGCAAGAAACTGCTCTCAGAACCTATCACCCTCTTCACTCGCTGGCTGACAAAGCTGGGGAGAGGGCAGGTCAAGCAGGTTCTTGCTCTTATCACTGGACACGACCATTTCAGGAAACACCTCCACACTCTAGGAATTATCAATGATAATCAGGAGTGTCGACTTTGCAACCAGTCAAATGAGACTGCAAAACACATTATTCTGGATTGCAATAGACTTGGGGCGAGGAGAAGAGCTCTGTTTAGTCTAAAGCAGCCAGGTGATGAACCAGACGCTAACATTGGGCAAAAGCTCCTCTGCACCTAGTCAAAGACACAGGCATAGGCTTACCCAGTTAGCGGCAAGTGGTATTATTATTATTATTATTATTATTATTATTCTTTGTCATGAGAGCCGAAGCCCCCTGACTACATACCCGGTACCTATCGTGAGACATACCCGGGCCCCATGATGTAGGCCGAAGCTTACGCATCAACCTTAAGCACATTATGGGGGGATGACTTAAGGTCATCAGGCTCGCCGGCTGCCGAAGCAGACCCTTCGGAAAGAGGGTTGCCCCTCAATCCTAACCAGGGATTCCGGCTACTTGTTTAAGCGTCACTCCACCTGGGTTCCACCAGGTACAAAGCCCTAGAGGACCATAATGGAGCGCCCTGACGCATTTAGTGCAAGCAACACTCGGGACCTATCTAATCCCTGACAGGCAGAACCCGCCATCATAGCCAGAAGGAAGGGGACCCAACCTCCCATTTACACCACTACCCGATCGAGGCCTTACCCAGTTGCTGGGAAACCAGAGATAACCAGAGCGATAGATCCCCAGATACCCCTGGCGGGCTCGAACCCAGCACCCGATCTACTTCGTTTGCCCAAATAATACAGTCAATGATTATATGACGATACAACCCTAAACACAACTACAACCCCTACTACGGCAAGTGGTATGCACAATAAGCTTCGGTTGACATGCTTGGACCACATTCCACCCCTCTCACAATCAGTGCCGGATTTAAGGTAATTGCGGCCCTAGGCCAAATTATTTGAGCGGCCCTCAACCGTGTGGTGGAATCCCCTCATCTAATAGGGGTGAAATCATAAAAATCCCCCACAGTCATCATCATCACCAGCGATTGTGGATGAAATCATGGACATCTCCCGTGGGCCACAATCACAGGTAAATCATCATTTTCATCCACGATCGCTTGAACACTTACCCTAAAACAAAGGAGATGATATCATCACTGACGCCCACGAATGCGGCAAAATCGTGAACATTTGCCGCTAGCCGCAATCACCGGTACATCATCATTGACACTCGCGACCGTGGCGAAATCTTAAACATCCCTTTGGGCCACAATCACAGGGACATAATCATTGACACTCGCAACTACGGCATAATTGGGGTTATCTTCTACAGGCCACTAATGCGGGACATTATCATCGTCACTCACGATCGTGTAGAAATCCCAAACACTTACCCTAAATCAAGGGAATATTGTCACCAACACCCGCGACTGCGGCAAAATCATGAACATCTCCCATGGGCCGCAATCACGGGGATACCAATATCGACAACCACGGCCGTGGCAAAATCATGAACATCTCTCGCAGGCCACAATCATGGGGACATCACTATCAACAATCGCAGCCGCGGCAAAATCTTTAACATATTCCGCGGACCGCAATCACGGGGACATGATTATTGACACCTGCGCTTGCGGCAAAATCGTGAATATCTTCCGCAGGCAGCAATAACGGGGGCATTATTATCGAAACCCGCGGCCACGGAAAAATCATAAACATATCCCTCCGGGGTCGCAGCAAAATGATGTTCAAAAAATTAAAATTTGTTTGTACTGAAAACATATTTTTGTCAATCCTCAGCCGCTTCCTTTTGTTTACGGCACTAGGCCGCGGCCTAATCGGCTTAGTGGTAAATCCGGCGCTGCTCACAATACAATACAATACCGGTGACCAGACAAAAACTGGATCACGAAATACCCGGCCTTACCATGCTCCTGTTCCACCCATGGTCCGATGCTAGGAATGAGCCTAGCGGTCCAATGTTCCCATGACTAGGCATCCCACTCGCGCTACCAGCGGTTGAAACTGGGGTCACGTTCTTCTCTGGCAGCAGTCCCTCTGCCTACTTCAGGAAACCTGCGGTAGATTGCCTGTCGTTCCCTCTCGAGATGGAAGATGGGGACGTCGCCAGCAGTCATGATGACTACAGGCTCGGAGACTAGGCAGAAGCAACTCGCAAGGCTCTTCGATGCTGAACGCAGGATAGCTGTTCACGGAAGATGCACCTACAGAACGATTACATCACAACATGTAGTTACAATGATTTCTTTTTTGGTTATAACTTTTCAGTGTTCTAAATCTTTATAAAATCGTATAACTACTACCTACAGCTCTGGTTTTAATTTTTCAGCATTGAATGTATGGTAATAGCAAATGATGCTACAGTCAAAGGTGGAACTTACTATCCAATTACAGTGAAAAAACACCTTAGAGCTCAAGAGATTGCAGCAGAAAACAGACTGCCTTGCATTTACCTGGTAGATTCTGGTGGTGCAAATCTTCCACATCAGGCAGAAAGCTATCCTGATAAGCTACATTTTGGGCGAATCTTCTTCAATCAAGCTAATATGTCGGCTGAAGGTATAAATCAGGTACTTAAATATGCAAATTGTGTTTCATTAAATTAAGAACACCTAATGGCTTTGTAGAGGAAAGCATTGAAAGGATCATGGTTGTCTAGATACTTGTAATTTACTCGTTATTAATGTTCTCATAACTCGCTGTGCGGCTCTGGCATTAGAATAGACCGCATTTTTACCTCCTCCCCACAAACAAATTTTTCTTTAACAGATATATATATTAATTTGTAGTTTTTAGCAAATTTCCCTATAGGGAAGTAGCTATTACCGTAGGTGGCACGGTAAGACCTAGGCCCGGGACTGATTTACTGATTTACACTTTATTAGTTTCCTTGTAGCAGTAAACCTAGGTATTCGTTATTTAAACCTAATGTTATTTAAATAGGTTTAATTGAAAATCAATTCAGACAAATGGAAATTCGCTTAGTCGGCAGGTTTGCTGACGGGGGTATTATTTTTGTTTCATTTAATTGGCAGTGTAAGCAAAACAGGATTTTATATTTTTATTTTATGTGTCAACAAACTTACAATTAGATCTACTAATCCACACTCAAAGAACGTTTTAAGATGTTTTATGGTTGCAACATGTCTCATTTGGCCTATGCAACAGCTGCATTTCAAACAGACTATGTTGTAACAATCCCCTCCCATCAAAATGTAGTTTCATGTCACGGTTGATTCAGTGGGCGTCAAGGCATCACTTACTTTTTCAGGATTAATAATAGTATTTGATGTAGATTAGATCCTTGGCTTGACTCCAGACACGCACTGATGGTTATGTTTGGTACCAGATAGCAGTGGTGCTGGGTAGTTGCACTGCAGGAGGAGCCTACGTACCTTCCATGGCAGATGAGAGTATCATCGTCCGCAAACAAGGCACCATCTTCCTGGCAGGACCGCCCCTGGTAAAAGCATCCACGGGAGAGGTAGTGTCAGCAGAAGATTTGGGTGGTGCTGATCTCCATTGTGGGTGAGAATTCTATTGTCATTCGACAGTGATTACTTATTCCTGCCCCACATTAAAGCATCTCCAATGTTTTAAGTTCATTTATAAATAAGAGTCTGTGTGTCCTCAACATTTTCGGGTCATGCTGCTGGGCCAACAATCCTGAGAGAGATTGGTTCAGGCCAAGATTAATTTCCGGGCCAAGCTCAGGTGAATTATTTATTTATATTAGAGGTGTGAAATGGCTCTATTTACGAGCCCGGCCGAGCCTAATCTAAGCCTGTTCTGATCTTGGCCAGAAACCTGAAGGTAAACATTTATTATTTGGCCCAACTCGAATTTGAAAGTCTGCTCTGTAGACCCCATTTTAATTATTGTATTGTACTATAGCCAAGAATAAATCAAGTAGAAACTCTCCCCATGATTTTATTAGAAAAGCTTAAGATGCCTCAAAATGTTAAATGACTTTTCTGATGTATTAATCTGTTCAATTCATTATTAGTGTTTCCATCAGAGTTGTCAACATCATGAACTAAAATATCAAAATGTATTTTATTTAGGTTATAAAGGACTTGTCTTGAGGGTATTAACCAGCTTTGAGTCTACTTTGCCTATAATGTGTTCCAATATGACACATACAATACTCACTGCAAAACTGCTCACTGCACACTGCTGTTGTGTTCCAATATGTACTGCCAGTTACACCTTTACCCTTCATCAAAAATTCCATATTAGACCTCGGGTGCGATACGAGCGGTGAGCGGCGCTGCTTTGACATCGGGTTTAATTTAGTTGCGTATACATTTGTCGAGGGTGGCCACGATACGTCTGTGTGGCGAGCGATGCCGCTCAAAGTTCCAAGTCAAAACCAATTTTTTGGAAAATGCCACTCGCCGTTCAGGTGATTCATGCTTCAGTTCAGCCAAATGTAAGAGCAACAGCAGCAAACATGCCAGCAATACTCAAGAAGAGAGAGGTGAAGTTGAGTGATTCTCAAAGAAGTGTTGCTCGCCGCTCGTATCGTACCCGAGGCCTTACTCTTTTCTTAGCATTTTTTCATTTACAACTTTCTTATCCGTACATTGACAAATGATCCTGTTATGTTTTTCTCTGAAGGGTATCAGGAGTGACTGATCACTATGCAGTAGACGAGCATCATGCCTTGACATTGACACGTAACATCATATCTCAGCTCAACTTGTCTAAGGACCCATCAGTGACTGTTTCCAGAGATACACCAGAACCCCCTATCTTTCCTGCTGACCAACTCTATGGGATTGTGGGTGCAAACCTTAAAAAAAGCTTCAACATCAAAGAGGTATATTTTCGTATTCATATAAATGAAATAAGCTTGTGTCAAAAAGTAACTTTTGGCCTGTTTAAAAATCTATTTTATGTAATAAGATGATAAAGATATAACCAAACTTTTTATAATGTTTAACCTTGTAAGTTAGCTCCAAAAATAGCTTCCATATGTTTTTACTGTTAAAAATAAACTTACTTGGATGTGTTGGACCAAACATAGGCTCAATGCCATGTTGGTTAAAAAAATGTAAAAATGTGTAAATGGTATATTTAGTTTTTGACAAAGTCTATCCAGGCATTCTGGTCATCGACGTCGCAGGAGGTATTAAGGGGAGCGGGAACGGCCTATCTCGCCAATGTTAAATTTGCCATCTTTAGGTCCACTTTTCTTCTAAAGGTGGAAAGCTATAGCTTAAAAATTGTAGGCTATAATTATCAACCCTTATGTGTAAACAGACGCAATTTCAGAATTTTCAATTAAGTATTACCTCAATTTTTTTTTCCTAAGACATAAAAAGTTTACAAATTTTACAAGACATAATTTTTTTCTTCTTCAAAACTAGCAATGTGACAGTAATAAAAATGGGTCTAAATGTTACTTAAAACACAACAATTAGGTATAAAAAATTTAAAGTCTCTAGGTCAATTAGTTCCAGGTGAACTTTCGGAAAACGCGGTGAAAACGGGGTACCCTGTTGACCTAACGCAAGCAATATTTATCATAAAATAGACCTGTACATACTGTGGATCATAATGCTGCCTCTCATCCATCCTTTTTCTGCATGAGCCTTCTTTTCTTCTAGCTACTCTAGACTTCATGATACTTTCAGCTGCTTTGTCACTTTTCTACAACATTTTCTTTTTTAAATGTCATGGGTATACTACCTCCATTTTTGAAAAATGAATAATAAATGAATAAAAAGATCTTTAACGAGCAAGCGGTTTTCAGATACAATTATGCTTTTCAAAACAACTCTTGTCATTAATTTACTTATTCTATGCATGTATTAAAAACAGACGTTTTGTTAAAGTATGACACAGGTAACATTTTGTATCATGAGGTATTAATTATTTTATATTCGGTTTTTGGTATCAACCGGAGTTTTTACAGTGTTACATGTTTTGTAAAGATGGGAAATACCCTTTGCAATAACAGTCAGAAATGTTCCTTAGTTTTTCAGTAATAGGGGAAATAATACTATTATTTTTTTCAACTATTACTTCCTTATCAAGGAAGTTTCAGCTGGTTGCTGTGAATAGAATAATATATCACTCTTTTTCACTTGCTCCCAATTCAGAAGGTCACGAAAATAATATGGTATTCTCAGTAATCTATTACCAAGGTACTGTACTGTATTATTTAATACAGATCAGTAGGATGGTTAATTATTTCATTCACTCTTTTGGCCAGTTCAGATGCTGTTCCTAAATAATGTAATATGGTGTTCTCAGTAATCTCTTACCAGAGTAATAGGTGTCACTTCAGCATTAGTATTATTTATCCTATTACATTAAATAACATCCACATCAAGTGTTTTGTGATCAAGCACACTTATAAGTGAAGTTTTCAGTGGATTAGTTTTAAGTTTCTTACTATGTGCCAAGTGTTGCAGTTTTTTAGTCAATAGCTTTGTTTTTTTCAGGTGATCGCAAGGTTGGTTGATGGCTCTCGATTTTCTGAATTCAAGGAAAAATATGGTGATACACTTGTGACTGGGTTTGCTAAACTATTTGGCTATCCCATCGGAATAGTGGCTAACAACGGTGTTTTGTTCTCAGAGTCAGCTATTAAGGTAACTTTTTTACAAAAAATCACAGAAATCATCTCAGGATTTCATTGCAATATTATAAAACCATAACTTGATCTGTTTACCGTTTCTTTGCATTAGTTTTTCTCTTTTATTTTGATTAACACAATTTCACCATCACTTAAAATTAGAGAAATTTGTATACTAATGTTAAAGATATTTTTAATCATTGTTGGAACACTTTGTCAATCAATGATAGTAAACTTGCTGTCATTTTATTTATAATTCAAATTCTCTTACAAACAGGTTCATATATTTTTCATAACCCTGTAACGTTTAATGATATAAAGATACCAACATTTCCTTCATTTTTGATTTTTTATAATATGTGACATTTTACAGGGAACACATTTTATTGAACTGTGTTGCCAAAGGAAAATTCCACTTCTCTTCTTACAGAACATCACTGGTAATAGTTTTTCTTTTCCTAGACTATAAATGTGCTAATGTGTTAGAACTAATTAAAGAACGTAACATTATGTGCTATTTTTGTGTGGTCTGTACAACATAGAGAGTTTATTGAGATAACCCCTTTTGCCGCCCCTTTCTATACTTGTAAGTAACAGACAGACAGACAGACAGAAAATGTTTAATCAAAATCTTAAGAGATTAGAAAGGCGTCAATACAATATTAACACAAAAATGAGATAAATTGTCAAATACAATCAAAGTTCTGCCAGTCCATAAATTCTCTTATGCTGTAGAATGGCATCTTGCAGAACCAACGGGTGAGTTGAGCTTTTAAGGTTTTAGGGTTGTCATCTTTCAGCTCTCCTGGCAACATGTTGAAGAATTTTGATCCAGCATAGGTAGGCTTACGTTCGAAGAGTCCAAGGCGATGAGCAGGGAGGTTGTAGTTGGTTTTATTTCTCGTTTCATAGCTGTGTACTTCTTCATGTCGCTTGAGATTCCTGGTTGAGGCCAAAATAATGGTTTCTATTATGTAGAGACTGATTACAGTAAGTAGTTCATTGTCTTTAAAGAAATCTCTAGAACTTTCCAGCCAGTCGACATCATACATGATTTTCAGAGCTTTTTTCTGCAGTATCAATACTCGTTCCAAGTGAGTAAGAACAGCAGACCCCCAAACTGCTATTCCATAATGTAGATGGCTTTCAAATAGGGCGTGATATGCCACAAGCATAGCCTCTTGCGTACAGACGCTTTTAATTCTTCTCAGAGCATATATAGCGCTACTAAGCTGTAGTAAGACACATAACAAGCTTTATATAGCTGCAATTGACTGTACGCTCTGATTTTTTAGCGTGCTGCATAGCTAGTATCCATATATAAACCTGCTATGGTATGTTTTAGGCAGGTTATGGGTGGTGTGACTCTCATTTTATTACGACTCGCAACATGCCTGTTACACACTAATGCAAGTCGCAAAATCATGCTAGATGCAAACACAGCAATATCGTTAAAACTAAAATTTGTAGTTGAGGACAAGATGTCAAGTAGTGATGATGAGTCTTTGTTTAGGATTTTAAGACAGATTATAAATCAATGATAAAAGTGGTTAAGTCCATTTTTGCACATTTAATTTGAAAGTGGAACCTAATATGTTAAATTTCAACCAAACTTGTGTTCTAGAAGATATTCACATAATGAAATTTACGAGTTTAGCTCGGAAAATGTGGTATGCCTTGTACAGTGTCATGTTCTTCTGCAGAATGTGGGAAAGGAGCGCCATAATAACACAAACCTGCTGGTTACTGTAGAAACACCTACCAGCCTTTCTAGTTTCTATGGAATTGGGAAATATCCGCTTCCTGTCTGCTACATCTAGCATTATGCGGATATTTCCGTCACCCATCTTAAACACTAAAAGATTAAGCGGATGTATCCATCACACTTCCTTATGACGCTGTACTGTTCTCAATAAACATGTAAATAAAGTATATTGTCTATTGTCTTATGTTAATGCATTATATTAGATTGCTAACAGAGAAACTTTGTTCATTTATTGATTTGAACATGTTTACAATGGTGGGTTTCTTATTTTTTTCATATTATCTTACCATTCCACAGCTGGTTTTGGTTGGATAATAGAGGGTCTACAGTAATTGAAACTAAGGAGGTGCCAATGAAATGTTGCTGATTCTGGTAATGTAAGGTCTCTACTCTCTATACCCTATATTCAGATTGTTAACTAATCAGTGACCATAGTACATACCAGTTCTATTGTTTCAGGTTTCATGGTAGGGAAGGATGCAGAAGCAGGAGGCATAGCTAAGAACGGTGCCAAGATGGTGACTGCCGTGTCTTGTGCCAAAGTTCCTAAACTCACTCTCATCGTCGGAGGATCCTATGGGGCCGGAAACTACGGGATGTGTGGCCGAGCTTACGGGTGAGCTCAGTTACATGTTTGTTAATCAATTAATTTAATTTTAGTTTGTGTAGACTGAGTAGACAAATGTTCACATTTAATTACCTTGACCATCCCTATGGACGGTCGAGTACCAAGAATTCACGTATATATTTCAGTGTGAATGAGTACTCTGTAGTCTGTACTCTAGAGGATGTGTCTAAACAACCGCTTTAGCCATTCCTATCTGTACTCAAAAGATCTTTATTGAAAATGGCATTAAACAGTTGTATTTGACTGTAATTTCTTATGGTTTTAGCACTGCATACCACATTTGGTTGTGGATAGAGCAGACATTAATACTCTTATTTAAGAAAGTTTAAATATCAATACTTTCTTTGTTTTACTAGATAATTAAATTTTTAAATAATTGCCAATACCAAAGGTGCTTCTTAGTTCTTAGTCTATAACTATCGGTTTATAGTTAATGTTTTTAAGGGCCAAACCTATTTTTCCTTGTAAACAAATGGTCCTTGAAAACCAAAGTCTAACATCTGCATGTATAGTTTTTATAACAAAATCATTATTATATTGGAATTGGAGTAAGAGTGTTGTGGTTTTCTAGACCCAGATTCCTATACATGTGGCCTAACGCTCGCATATCTGTGATGGGAGGAGAACAAGCAGCCGGAGTTTTGGCCCAAATCACCAGAGATCAAAAGTTGCGGAAAAAAGAACAGGTATGAACTTTGTTTGATAATAATCCCTAACTTTAAAAATCAGCCTTAGATATACAGTAGGCTACACTTAACCGACCTCGCATTAACCTGTAATCAGATTATCCGCCCTCACTCGTGAATTATTACAGTTTGTTTTAACCAACCCTGTTTCTAGAGCAGTTCGGCTTAACCGCAGCTTTCTAGGAATCTCTCCGCTCCCTTGCTCGTTGATGGGATCAATGTGCTAAACTCTACAGTATGTTACAAGCTATAAATAAACATCCTGTATCATAACAAGATGGTTGCTTGTATCTTTAATTTTGAAAATAAGTTCTGTACTGTATTACAATGGATTTGAAAAACATCAATTTAACTAAGATAAAAAGGAAAACAATTTAACTAAGATAAAAAGGAAAAAAGAGTTGTTTATTTTGTAAATAATACACATACGACTTCAGAAAAATGATTATATAATTCCAAATGAATAACACTTAATTTTTAGTTTTTTGGGGATTGCCCATTTTAACCGACCTTTAATGTTATCCTACCTAGGTCCCGTCCCGTTAGGGTCGGTTAAGAGAGGGTCTACTGTACGGTACCAAACAGCACTGGCAGAAACTTCAAATATAAATAAGAATTATACAGGGTGTCTCGTAAGTAAACAGTCAAACTCTGGGAAATGGTTCTATGGGTCAAAATAAAAAGAAAATTAAAAATAACATTTTTCCAAAATCGCTTTGTTTACCAGATACCCGCCATTTTTTTTTCACATAAAAATTTGTATATTTGTATCTTTGAATTTTTTTAACCGATTGTTATGCAACTTCGTATGTATGTTAAGGTAAAACAGACCCACGTTAAGAAAAATACATTTAAAAAATCCAATTCAAAATTTCAAAATGGCGGCCATATTAATTTTTTAAATTTAAATTGCTAAAAAATGGCTAAGGATAAGAACAAATTTGAAAAACACTTTTATTTAGCATTTTTAGTTCCCTATCAAACAATACCAAAGTCAAAAAGATTGAATAAGAAATAGCTGAAATATAACTATTTTTAGTTGTAAAATGAGGCAAACCTGATTAGCTTAGCCTTTACCCCGTTTTACAACTATAAATTGTGATATTTCAGCTATCTTTTCTTTGATCTTATTAAACTTAGTATCGTTTCATAGGAAATTAAAAAGGCTAAATATGTTCTTTAATTTTTTTCATAATTTTAGCCATTTTTTAGCAATTTTAATTTAAAAAATTAAAATGGCTACCATTAAAAAAAATTATTGGATTAAGATTTTTTTTTTCTTAACGTGGATCTGTTTTACCTTAACATACATACCAAGTTTCATAACGATAGGTTTAAAAAATTCAAATATAGGCTACAAATTCTTATGTGAAAAACAAAATGGCGGATGTCTGGTTAAGGAAGTGATTTTGGAAAAAATGTTATTCTTGATTTTCTCTTTATTTTGACTCATAGAACCATTTCCCGGAGTTTGGCTGTTTACTTACGGGACACCCTGTATACAGTAGGACACCCTATAAAAAAATGTGATTTCTCAATATGAAAATTTATGGTTTTAAATTACATTATTTCATACTTGGTGTACCTACTGTTGGCGAGCATTTTCACAATTAACTCAACTATGGCTCTTATCTTGCTGTTGTCTTTTTTCAAGTTGGTTTAAGTTAGCTGTCTACATCTGTCATTACACATTATCATTACAAATTATAAAAGCACTATATAGTGGTTTAAATTACCTTGTTACTGTCAAAACGATCCTTTGTAGTTAGTAGACTACAGCTGTTTCATGCTACGAATGGAGCACATCATCAGGTCAGAAGAATGTCAAGTAGTCTTCATATTCCTCGCAGTGGAGTTCGTCAAAAGTTTAATAATAAATAGAGAACAAAACACATAACACTCGGAAACACGAAACATTTAATATTGGTCGACCAGACGACGGTAACAACACACGTGATACGGCGCCGGTTGAGGGTGAGTCGCGACTGTCACGTGCCGTCGGCGTTGACCCCTACTCCTACTCCACTATTATCCTTATCTCGTTCCTTTGTTTTCTGTTTATTGTGTATATGAATAGCGGTGTTGTAGATGATGTTTGATTCGAATGATAATTGTTCATTTAATATATTCTGTGGTTGTTCTTTTGACACCTTGTAGATTTCAAACTCCTCAACTGTATCCATGTATCGTCCTTTATTGCAGAGTTGTACTATTTCTAAATTATTGTCAATATTTGTGTAATTATGGTTGGATGAAATTAAGTGGTTTGCATACGCTGATTTGGAATTTTTCTTTGGCATATGTTCCTTAAACCTGGTGGAAAAAGATCTTGATGTTTGGCCTATGTAAAAATTGGGACAATCGTCACATTTTAGTTTGTAAATTCCTGTTTTGTCCATTGTATTAGTTCTAGACGGTTGTCGTTCTTTGACGATGGTAGACAGTTTATTGTTAGTTTTGAAAGATACGACCACATCATTCATCAGTCGCGACTCACCCTCAACCGGCGCCGTATCACGTGTGTTGTTACCGTCGTCTGGTCGACCAATATTAAATGTTTCGTGTTTCTGTGTGTTATGTGTTTTGTTCTCTATTTATTATTAAACTTTCGACGAACTCCACTGCGAGGAATATGAAGACTACTTGACATTCTTCTGACCTGATGATGTGCTCCATTCGTAGCATGAAACAGCTGTAGTCTACTAACTACAAAGGATCGTTTTGACAGTAACAAGGTAATTTAAACCACTATATAGTTAATTCAGACGATCCAGAGGCCATTCCACCATGAAATATAAAAGCAACAATTGTGGTGTCCATTAATATCACATTTTTGCTTTTCAATTTACACGAAAACTTGAAATTTTAGTGGACTGAGGAACAGGAAGCAGCTCTTAAAGAACCTATAATCAAACAGTTTGAAAAAGAAGGAAGCCCGTATTACTCTACCGCAAGGTACGTACCTGATGTTACTACTAACAGTACCTAGGCTTTATTGTTATTGTTTTCTTTCCCTAACTAATGTGTACAGGTCTAGGTCGGCTCTAAATGCTTCACTTTTTAAAATTACTTTTCTTTCTGCCATGAAGCCTTCCTAAGACTTGTTGTCAGCAATATTTGGATTGTCTTAGGCTTATTATTTGTTCTATCTAATACTAAATTTTGCAGCTTCCATTTAATGAGTTTTTTGTAAAAAAATAATAATAAACCTTAACTTTTAAAATAGTAATTAGGTTTTGAATTTGTTTGTGGAAAATAGGAGTTTTGTTGTCTTACACAAAACAAATTGTGTACGGTAATGGTATAATTGGTTCAAATATCTGGAATTAGTCAGTTATTTGATGCAATTCATGTATAAAAAGGTACTAAATCATATCAATCTATGTACGGAATTATGTATTTATGGCAGAATCACTATTTTTACACAGAGGCCCCTACATAAAACATGTAGATGCAAAACAGTTTCATATACAGTATTACGCTATGAAATTTTGTGAAATACATGAATTTTGTAATATCTTTTATTAAGAAAAATACCTCCGCCGCAGCAAACCTGCAGACTACGCAAATTTCCATTTGCCTGAATTGATATACAATTAAATCTATTTAAATTACATTAGGTTAAACGAGTTCCTATGTTTGCTGTTACAGGGAGACTAATAAAGTGGGTTTTTTTTTGTTAAATGTTAATAGCTTAGTATAAAATAAATAAATTTGCCAAGTTTGATAAAAATACATCCATAAACAAGCAAACTACAACATTTTACAATATTCTCCATAAGAATAACATGGGAATTTTAAATTTACAACTTTTTGAATTTTCTCCGTAACCAATAACTACACAAAAACACTTCAATATACTAAATTATTTGTCTTTTTAAGCTCTTTAAAATGGTCTAGAGAGAAATTGGGAAATTTTGTGTTTTGAAAACCAATTTTTACCCCATAAAACTTCCCTTAAAACCCTGTTCCCATCAGCCAACCATGCTGGTTCACGAACTCATCTCATTCAAGTTTATCCCGCATTACACCTTCACACCAAATTTCATTAAAACCGAACAAAAATTACGAGTTTTTGGCCTCTGAGGACATCAAAATGAAAAAGTAAATCGGTCCCGGGCTCAAGTCTTACCATGAGACCTACGGTAATAGCTACTTCCCTATAAGGAAATTCGCCAAAAACAACCACACTTACAATTTATTTTTAATGGTTTAAAATCATAATTTTAACCTGTTCCAGAATATTTTATTTTAGTTGTCAGATTTCATACCTAACTAACTCTGTCAACAAGTACTTTAATGGGTTTCCTTAGTAAATAGCATGTTGTTATTTGAACTAACTCAGTAAATTAGATTTTATAACTATTTTGTATTATGTTTTCAGGTTGTGGGATGATGGAATTATAGATCCTATGGACACTAGACAAGTTTTGGGTCTTAGTCTTGCTGCTACTCTCAATGCGAAAATTCCTGACACTAAATTTGGTGTGTTTAGGATGTAATGTTTTTGTTTTGTTCAAATTTTATAATAAAATATTTTGCTGTATACTGTTGAAATTTTTTCAATCAAATTTTCCTAAATTTAACCAGATTATGATTGCTTTGAAGAATAAATGTCATTTGAAACTGACATCCGTTCCATCTAGAACACCCAAATCAGTTTTGTGACTGTAATGCTTAAACTCAGGAATGATTGCCCTCTACTGGCTAGTCTGACTCCCCACAGCAGATGACCTTGGATAAGAGAACTTGATTTGGCTTTGTATTGAAAAGACAGGGATTTCTTCAAATTTCTTTGAATTAAGATTAATAGGAATTGGCACTACCACATTGCCTAAGATGTTTAATTACTTTACAATTAATAACTGTTGCCAACAAGTCTTAATATAACACACCTAACTTGTAAAAATCATTAAGGGGAGGGATATCTAAGCCAATTGCCTTAAAACATTAATCATTCAAAAACAAATTCCCTATGTTATTTATAAAGGTTGAGGACTATTAATTAATCCTTTCAATTTGGGTTGGTTAAAAAGTTTGTTTATTCAACAGGAATCATTAGCTGATATCAGCCAACTCTATCGGCGGATCATTTAACAATGTTCATTTTCACTTTGAAACTGGCTACAGCTTTTACATGAGAATGCAATGTCTATTTATATCAATAAAGAATATTGCAAATATTAGAAATCCCAGTGTGGGATAGCTGGGTTCCATTAACAATTAAACCCAACAAATCTGAGAGTGGGACAGCTAGTTTAAAATAAATCAAAATAAAATAAATATTTTTTTACATGAGTACCAATTAATAATACCAGATTCTTGGGTGGATCTATCCCAAGTTCATCTGCCTCAACATCAGTCGATTCCGTTTTGACAAGCTTCATCTCTCCCTTCCTCAGCTTGTGGCAACCTGTTTGTCCTAAACAATAGCTGAGAAATGACAATCAATCAGCTGATGCTCCAACAAGAGATAAGTGTTGTATCAGTGGAAATTACAGAAACTGTGACTCTAGATAGAGCATCAACTGCATGATTATCCTTTCCCAGCTGATACACTATGTAATATGAGTAGCATGATGGATATTGCTTCCACCTCGCAATCTTCTCACCTTTGATCTTACTTACATGTTTTAAATTGAACATGAATGTAAAGATCGTTGGTCAGTGATGAACCGCAAGTGTCTGTCTAACATGAAGTAGGTATTTCCAATGTCTGTCAACCTCAACAATGGTGTAAGCCTTCTTTCGAGAGAAAAATTTCATTTCTCTAAGTTTGACAGAGGTCAGGAGAATAATGTATTTGGTCGATTTTGTTGACTTAGAGTGGCAGGTTTTGTAGTATTTGGAGCATTTGTCTCCACGCAAAATTGAACTTACAGGTTATGTTTACTTATCAATACAGTCCAAAGACGCTTTCTCAATATCTTGTTTGAGTTTTTGGAACGATGAAATTGCTTCTTCAGATAGTGGAAAACTTTAAAAGTGACTGAAATATGGATCTAGTCTAATAACACCATCACGTGTGGAGTGACCTAGCAGGGTGATGTTGCACAAATAAAATGAGATTTTCTCATGGTGATGGTTAAAATTGTATTAAGAAGCTGTTTGCATGACTTTTTCAGATTTTCATCATGTTCAGTTTAAGTGTGACCATAAATTGTTATGTCATCGAGGTAAGCGAATGTATCTTTGAAATTTTCTTTTCTTATCAGGTGATCCAAGGCTCATTGGAAAGCAAACGCATCTTTTGTCATGCCAAAATGGATTCTGGTCAACTGGTAAAGTTCTCCAGCAGCATTAAAAGCATTGTATAGTCGGTCTTTTTAAGGGATAGAAATTTGATGGTAGGCGCTTCTCAATCTATTTTACAAAGACTTTAATAAGCTAATTTAGAGATTATTTCATTAATGGAAGGGATTATTGGGTAGGCATTCAATCCCGTGAAGTGGTTTATTGTTGGAGAATATGACCATCCTTCTTTTGTGATTTTGAGATGTAACAAGCACTTGGGCACACCATGGTGAATTTGCTCTTCTCAGTATTTCCATTATTTAACAACTTTTTTTTTAATTTGGCCTTTATGAACTGAGAATCGTTGAGTGAATACTGAATAGCAAATAGATTTAACAGCTATAGGATTACAATTAGAAGTCAGCTTAGTAAATATGTTACAGTAGCAGGATACTAATTTGCAGCTGTCAGAGCATATATGGATCCTTATCTCTCCAAACAAAAAGTGAACTGATGAGTGAAGTTGTTATAAAACTTGTCCTACAATTATCTCTGAACAGAGGTTATATATGTGACAGAAAGTTTGGTATGAGGGTATGTATGACCAAGCATCTCAAGAGTTACATTGCAATTGGCAGTGATTTTTACACTAATTATGCATGATGCTAATCCTAAATCCTAATTCATCTTGTAGATTTTCAAATTTAGCTGACTGGCAACTTTCAATCAAGCTAAAGTCACTTCCAGAATTAAGCATACCATTAATCTTGAAACTGTTAATGTTAATAGTGACAATTGTTTTAACTTTAGATGGTGTGAGATATCTATCATAGTTGTTCAGACAAAATTGATTTAACTAATTTATCCTTTTGTAAGTTAATTTATGTAGATGTTATTGATTGAAATTATACTATGTGTATGTGGGCAGGTTAAAAGGGACAGGGAGAGTCTATCCCTACTGAAAAGTTTCTAGACCTTTATAAATCTGCCTAAAGGAGTTCGCAGAAAGTTGTACGCATTTGATTTGAGCTATATGATGCTGGCAGCGTGTGTTTATTAGTTTCCTAATTTTTTACTAAGTTTATTAGTTATATTTGAATAGTAATTTAGTTAGAGGAACATAGTTTGATGATTGGCTTGTTTAAAAGAATGCCCAAGATTACTGTTGTCTTTGGTAGCCTTAGATGTCCCCACTCCTCTATCAGTTAAGCTATCTCTCACTCTATCACACCGTGAGTCACTGCCTCAAACTTAAGACATATGAAGGACTGCACCATGGATGTACAACTCCATACACCAAACTCCCTCTACTGATCCTATGAGATATTTTCTATATCAGAACACTATACTATGTCTACTTTTATCAACTGGTGTTTGACTTAAATAGCAAATTGACACCTTGGATGACAGAAATTTAATCACAGAACGTGATTCATACTTACCAGCAGTGTCGGGTTTCCTACACATATTTCAGGCTACTACAACAAGACTAACTTAATCACAGGGTTGAAAACTGGTAGAAAAGTTTGAAAAGCTTGATTTGAACTAGCTTGCTAAGTTTAGCTGCTGTTAGAGTTCCCTGGGGACTCTTTTATAGTTTAAACCACATTATATTCTTTAATATTTGTTTCAACATGTATATGGACCAGAGAGCAAAGAATGGAAATCGAGAGGGAATCGGAGGAGAGAGGTGAAGCCACTTTAAAATCGGCGTTGCCCATAAGTTAAGTGGTGGGGAGAGGGATGAGTGATCCTAATTCAGTGCGTCTCAGCCATTGCTACTATGCAAAATACATAGACTGATGCATGTAACTGGAGTCAGGAACGGTACAAATCAAAATTTTTAGAATAGAAAAGAGTGTTGGAAACCAAGCATGTATTTTATTTTCCAAATTTGTCTGTGAACGTGTTTAGGATGTAAAAATACTTGTGAAATATCCAATTTACTGTGGTTAGATTTTCTTAATGTGTAATTGTTTCATTGTTTATTGGTTTTTAATTGATATAGATTGAGTACTGTACAGAAAAAAAACATTCAAAAGTATACAGTTCATTTATATTCTCATACATGGGTTAATTATATTCTAAATATAACAAAATAAAGTTAAAAATCCGTAGGTGCTTATTTTATGAACTAATACTGTATGGGACCGAGCTTTACCGTACTCGGAGAAATGGTTATATCATAGAAAGTTCATGAATGATTCAAACATATATAACTAAGCTCATATTAATTGCTACACACCAATGATGATTTAGTTAACTTTGTGGTTTGGATTTTGTGGTTGATAGTCATTAAATACGTGAAACAATAACAGCACAGAAAAAATAGCTATTGTATGAAATAAAAATATTATGTATATAAAAAAACTTATAAATTAGAGTAAATATATAGAACGTATACAAACAAATATATGGTCATTAAAGCATCTAGATTATCAATAAATTATTGTGTGTGTAGGCATACAGTGAGGAACATAAGGCACAGCCCCAGCGTCGGCCATACGCAAATGTTGCTTCCTCTTCCACCTGAGTTATTTCCAAAACCACTCATCAGAACTTTTTCAAAAAAATATATGTTATGATTCAACTCAAGCTCTCACTTGCCGTCACTTGCCCGTATGAGTGGTGGGGGATTAGCTTCATTGCCCGCAACGCTTGCTGGATATACATACATAGCCCCTCTATTTATATTCTGTGCTCTCTGATATGGACCTTGTTTTAAGGCATAGAGATATTTTTGTGTAACCAATCAATTTATCCCACACAACACAAGAAGATCCTTGGGATGTCTTTGGGATATCCAAGTGGGATATGGGGGATATCCTCTGTAAGTCCCTCAAAGTCCTCAGAGTTTCCTCGGGAAACTCCCTGGGATATCTCTATGTCCGCCCAAATCCTAATCCCTGGGTTATCATACATAAAAACACAAAATAATAAAGTTTTTGTCTGAAAAGCACATTTATCATTTGAGTATTTTGATTAAATAGTTCATAAAAACAAATATTTAAAAAGTATGAAAAAAAAATTCCCCAGACGGGTCTTGAACCTGATACCTTCAACTTACGAACCTCTTACCTTACCTCCGAGCAATCTGTGATTGTTGATATTACAAGTTTTTAAGCGGTTAAAGATGAGCCGACAGCTTCAATGGTCGCAATACTTAAATATTTTTGATACTATGATTCTGTTTAGGCATAAATTTGTTTTTCTGGGAGTTGGAGGGGATACTATTTGACTATAGATTAATTAATTACCATTAGTAATGCTTTTATAATTGTTATATGGTTAATTAATATTTCCCCTTATATTTTTCAACAAATAAAATGTTCTCAAATAAGTTAAAGAATTTTAATAAAAAAAAATATTTGCATTATTATTATTATAAGCAGGTGTAGGCCTATTATTATTATAAAAAGGTGAATTATTTGAGTTGGATAATTATTCTGCGGAGCTCTGCCACACGGGGAATTCCTACAGATCTCCAGGATGTCCTATGAATGTGATCGGAAAACTTGATCATTTTTTTATAAATCATTGGTAATGTTTATAGTTAATTTGAAATAAGATTGAAATCATTTTTAACTATGTTTCTCAAGCACGTGTCACTTGAAAAAATACATTCAATACTATAAAATATGTTTTAATGTAGCCTATGAAGAATATCCATAAGAAGTTCCAAGGAAACCCCCAAAATGCATTTGTTTGTGTGGGATATGTGCTATATCATAGAGTGGTCCTAGGCATTCTTAAATCCTGGGATCTCTGTGTGGGATATGTGGGAACTGTTCAGGATATCCTGGGAATATCCTGCGTGGTATGTGGGATGAGATTGAAATGAGCTTATATTATGTTAATTGCAGATAGCTTAATCGAAGACTGGTGTAAGGCCAATAAATAGTTTTTAAATATAGAAAAAACTCAAGATTTATGTATTAGTTTTAATAATATAGGCATAATAAAAATTGTGTACAATTTTTAGGTGTTTTTATAGAATCTAACTTAAAGTGGAAAGTCCATATTGACTTAACAAAGGAATATTTATAATAAACATGCTTAAGAACAGTGTAGATTTTAATACCTTGAAATGCATTTACTATACCCCAGACAGCACACTTTCTCCTCAGGACATCCCACGGATATTGCGACAGGATATGGAAGAAATCCCATAGTGGTCCTATGGGCAACTTGGGATATCACAGGATATCCACAGAATTGCCTAATGTCCCCGCCCGGGGATGTCCTACGGATAAGCTCACACGCATATCCATGGGACATCCGAGGTCATCCCAGGGTAGCCCTCAGGACATTCTCAGGACATATGGGACTACTATGGGATGTCCCTGGGATAAAGTGTGGTCTGGGCCTGAACATAAAAAACACAAAATAATATAGATTTAGTATGAAAAGCTTAATTATAAGTTTAGTAAATTGATTAAATAGTTAATAAACACAAATTTTGAAGAAAAAAACGAGAAAAAAGTTTTTGGCCCAGACGGGTTTTGAACCTGGTACCTTCGCCTTGTGAGCCTCTTACCTTACCTTCTGAGCTATCTGCGCTTGTTGATTATGGGTGTTTTCAAGTGGTTAAAGAGTAGCCGACAGTTGCAATGGTCGCAATACTTAAAATATTTTTGATACTACAGTATAGGCTATATATGATTCTGTTAATCTGTTTAGGCCTCAAGTAGTTGAATTGTTTTTCTGGTAGTTGGAGAGGATACTGGTATTTGAATATAGATTATTTAATCACCATTAGATTAGCACTGTAATAATTGATTGTTATATGATTAAAATTAGTTTTTTGTTGTTTTATTAATTTAAAGTTAGAATTAAATTCACATTCCACACAACTATGATAGAACTCTAGTTTTCCTGATCTCAGTGGTAGTAATATGTCAGTAAAGTAAAGTCAACCCTTGCTAGCCATAGTATTAACAAGACATATTTTCAATCTGGGAAACCTTAAACTTTTAAAATAAATTATAAAACCTCAACATCTTAATGCGTGGGAATCTTATTTTTAGAAAAAAAAACAGACCAAAATTATTTGTTAAATAATGAAGACGGCCCAATTATAAATTCGGAATTACTGAAAATAATTACATCAAGAACAACACTGTAACATATCCAAAATTCAAAAGATTAATTTTTCTAATATTATTTTTTATTTTTCCAATATCCTTTAAATCATCTGTTTTAACTTTGTTTAAAATTAATTTATTAAGTAAATATTTACTTTTTGTACTAGTGTAAACACAGCCTGAAGATGGAAACCAAGTTTCTGAAAGCACTAGTGAAAAAAACAAATTATTATATATTGGCCTTGTTGAACATTTAAATTTAGATATACTGTACATTTCATCAGTGGTAGTATTTTTTTTTTCTTCAGTTTGTTACCGGGACATTACGGGACATTACAGGATATCCAGTGGATTTTGTACACGTCCCGGGATGTCATGGGACATTCTGGGATATCCTATGGCATTCGTACATATCCAGGGACTTTACAGGATATCCTGAGGTTAACTTACAAATCCCGGGACATTACGGTATATTGTAGGATATCCTGTGGATTTCGTACTCGTCCCGGGATTTTGCGGGATATCCTGAGGATAGCGTACATATCCCGAGACATTCTCAGGACATATATGGGACTACTATGGGATGTCCCTGGGATAAAGTGTGCTGTCTGGGACATTCCCATCTAAGTTATGGAACAATTGTATGTGGAGGTAGTAATTATAAAAAAAAACTTTTGTCATTGCAAAAACGGGCAATAAAAATCATGTACAATGTTGATTTTAGTACACACTGTAAACCATTATTTAGGGAGGCTAATATTTTAACTGTACAAGCAATGTATATTTTAGGCTGCCTTGTGTTTGCAAAAAATAGTTTTAGTAAAACAGACACACATGAAAATGTACACAGTTACAACACACAAAACCGCTGCAATTTTATATCTAGACAGTGTCGATACAGCACCACAGCTACTAGTTTTATTGAAAAATCCAAACAGTATTATAATATGTTACCTAATAGAATAAGATGTTTTAATTGTTTTAAATTTAAAATAGTACTTAAAAACTACCTGTTAAACCTGTGTCCATATAGAGAAATAGACTTCATAAATGATGTTAAATTAAACCTAAGTTAAAACCTTTTAGTTCTAAGACATTTCCTTGACTGTGCCATGCATGTAAACCAGTGTAACGGCAATAAAGCATTCTTATTCTTATAGTTTTCGATATACTGTAGTTATTACTTACATGAGGATTAAAAAATGTACAAATCATTAAAAAAGTGAGAGAGAATTTTTATTGAAGAATTTACAAAAACAAATCTTTAAAATCTGCATGTTTTGTATCTTTATTATAAATGAATTATTATTGTGAATTGTAAGAAGTGTGATATTTTATAAGTTAGACAATAATGTTTTACTCTGTATCTAAGTATAACTCTACACAAAAATTAAATTACGGTATTTGTGGCAATGTACAAATCATTAAAAAAGTGAGAGAGAATTTTTATTGAAGAATTTACAAAAACAAATCTTTAAAATCTGCATGTTTTGTATCTTTATTATAAATGAATTATTATTGTGAATTGTAAGAAGTGTGATATTTTATACGTTAGACAATAATGTTTTACTCTGTATCTAAGTATAACTCTACACAAAAATTAAATTACGGTATTTGTGGCGATTAGTATTGTTTTACTAAACTTCATGACGATGGAGGAAAACAAACTATAATAAAAAAAAAACTCTGAAATAGTAGGTACCGTGATTGGTGATAGATAGATAGCTAAAAGTAAATCATCACGATCAAAAATCATTATATTTTTTTCATTCTTAGAATAAAACAAACTAAGCTAAATCTTTTACAGCATTATTTCTAGCATGTGGCTTCATAAATAGTTTTAAAGTTTCAACTAAAAAAACGTTGCATAGTTGGCAGGCTTAAAGAAGATAAAAGGTTGTAGAATATAAAAATTACGTGGATGAAGATTCATTCAAGAAAGATAATACAATCTGTTCTAGTGATAAGATTAATTAGGGAATTAATTGAGGTATAATAATCCACAGATAGATAAGTTAAAGTTGCCTTCATATATAATCTCCGACTTAATATTGTTGTATAGTTAGAGATCGAGGTTAGGGTTAAAATTGCTTGCCGGTGTTGCAATAGTATCGACTTTGTTGTTCAGGCGCAGAGTTCTGTCGTCTGCTTAGGTATGCATCAAGCAAGGTTATGTTTGCCTACGTAGCTTAGTTTGTTTCTCAAAATATTTTGGGTTAGATAGCTTAATAATCTGTATTGTAGTTTAGGAAATTTTCATTCACTTAATTAAGTCTTATGCCAATAACCTATATTTTGTTTCTGCTTGTATGTTAATCTATAGTTTGTCAACATTATATAAATTAAGTTACCGTTAGCTATAATGAAACGATTATTTCCGTAAGTAATGTTCCATGCTAGGCCTAGATAATTTGATGAAGTAAAATGATAAAGTGCACCTAATTAATTGTGTAGGTTTTGATAAATGTTTATTAACTTATCAACAAATTCTAAGTGTCCTATATAGCTATTCATATTATTTACCTTGATCAAGAAATTTTCAGTTTTAACTAGGCCTATTGTTTATTGTAATGTAAGGGCAGGACTACACGAAGCCGACAATCAGCAGCGTATTGAACGCAAGAGCAATGACTACACGAGCGCATAGAACGCTGCCGACTGTTCTCGCCGAATGTGACTGACATTTGGACCGTACCAATATGGAATAAACACGATACAGGTCGGATGTGTAGCTGGTATGGTATTGTTGCTGGCTGTTAGGAGAAATGTCGTGCAAAGAGGCGTTGGTAGTCACACCGAACATTATCAAGTCGTTTAGTAACAGGGCAGTTTCAAGCATAATGTTTAATACTCATAGAATGTAAGTTACCTAGACAAATTTTTTTCAGCAAAACAAATACACATATTTAGACACAAAAAAACAATCAGACGACTCCAATCACAACAAGTAATTTAGAATCGGACTCGCCCATGTGAGGGGAGGGATGTATCAAAGCGCGGGAGAAATGCTGGTTGCCGCTACGTGTAGTCCGGCCCGCCGACGATCTGCCTGCGTATTTCACGCATCCAGAGGCGTTAGATCTGCCGAACGCCAGAATTTCGCGTCCTCACCAGGCAGAAAAAACGCTCATGTAGTCCACATCATGTAAAGCTATAGTCTCAGCAAAAAAAGCAGACGGTCGGCGGCGTTTCATACGCTCGTGTAGTCCTAATGTAATGTTGATTGTAATGAGCTTAACTAAATATTTATTTTACAGCAATGAGGTACTGGTAGCAAAGTGGTAGAACATAAATTATCAATATTAGGCCAAGGATTTATCTTGGGGTTAAGTATGAACTATTAAATTATAGTAGTTTTTGTAGCCTAAACAAAGATTTTTAATGTGACATTAAGGCCACGTTTACACGAACCCAGTTGACGGACAGGTTTACTTGCCTCAGTTGCCGATAAACTTGAAATAAGTCACTAAAGTTAATCTATTAGTATTAGTGTTACCCAGTTTCAAGAATTTTTTAAATAAGTTACCATTTTGTTTTACAGTTTCCTTTAGTTTTTTAGGAGTTTGTTTCCTGATGTGCATTTTGCCAAAGGTTATGGCATCTTCAGGGGTCACTATGTTATGCTTACATCCTAAATATATACAAAGTTTATGTACATAAGAGTCATCACTGCACTGTTTGTTTAATCACACTGTTAACACTCGCGGCGCGGCAGGCGTGTGATGCTAGAAGTAAGCCTCCCGAGCTCTCAACACGCGCCCCTCTAGGTAAAGCTTTGATATGGATGAAAATTTGATTAATATTGTTAAACATCTGCGCTTGTATAAAAAACATAGCCTATATGACATGATACTACAATTTAAAACTAGAATTTATCAGCAGTTTGAATGTATGCAACATGTTTTCAGAATGTTGAAGCTTGCCACTAAGGAGCTGGTAGGGGTGGGAATGTGTGGAAGTTCAGCGCAGGGTCCACTAGTTCCTACCCAGAGTCATGTACGTGACACTGCATTCCGATACTGCCGGGAGTTCCTGCCTGGAGCCTGGCGGAACATCCAGTACACGGATCTCCTTGTTGATAGAGTCAGGTGATGAACAGGATAGGATGAAGTGTGTATTACATTCACCAGTTCTACTTAGTACTACGGTATGCTCCACTACTCCAGTGAAGCATAGACATTTTTTGAAAGAAAAGGCAAAATGCACTTTAGGGTACCGTGTACTGGTAGTTCATATTTTCATAATTTTGCACACTATCACTAGGCCTATATCATGTTTCATGTCACACTAAATATTAATACCAGATACCAAAATGGATATGCATAGGGTATCAAAAATTGAAGAAAATCAAATTTTGACAGCAGCACACACTATGATTGGATCATTTAACTTAATTAATCAATTAATAAGAAATTAGCTAGAGCTGATCCATATAGATGGGTTGTCTATTTTACTTAACATCAATAGCTACCTACTATTCAAGAGCTACTATTCAACTGATATGAGAAAGCCTGAACATTATTTTGGATTTCTAACATGTAATTGTTGTTTCCAGTGGAGGACTGAGTAACCTATTATATTGCTGTCAACTGGCCGATCATGTCAAGTCATTTGAACAGGAGCCCAGGAAATGTTTAATACGATTTTATGGACAGGTTAGGAGATGTGCATTAAAATAATTAATAATGATACTTATTTTTGTCTCTGAGTAATTTATTATCTCTGAGTTAAATTTATTCTATTCAAAATCTCACATACAAATCAAAGGAAGGGTTAAATCGAGGAATTATCAGTTTGATAATTTATCATGCAACCTAGCTAGCCAAACAAAATTACTGTTACCATCAGTCTTTAATATGCTATATTACAATCGATAATGCTATAGTATCAGAATTCAGCCATGCTGGATGTATCGAATTGCTTCACTGCCTTCGACGAGCTGAAACTTAAACTTTCTCTCTCAAAACACCAAGTTGAAATGAATAAAGGAATTTTCTTCACTACATCTCTGATTTGGCATTAGATTTTGTTGAATGATAATTGTTGTAGTTTTCAGAATGAGAATAGAATACAGTGTTTTTGGGATGTGCGGTTTACAGCATTTCAGCAATGTTGAAAACTCCATAGCCTACCTCAACTGTGTGGATTAAAATATAGCACGACATGGTCAATAAGTGAAAGATTATTTTAAAAAAAATTTCACTGTGATGAAATTTAAAGCTGGAACTATATTTTATAATAAGCTAGCTAATAAGAGGCACTATTTTATCAGTGTAGAATCCAATATAACAAAACAATCTGTTTATACATTATGTATCGTGAACACTACATACAGCATTACATTATGTATTCATTTCACTTATTTTCCAGGTTAACAGAGAGAGGGCTTTGGAAACTCTGATCACCGAGTGTATGATTCTAACATTACTCTCGGAGCGTCAGCAAGGCCCAAGACTTTATGGTGTTTTCCCAGGAGGACGCTTGGAGGAGTACATTGCTGTGAGTTTACGTGACATTTTCAACAACATTTACCTTAGAATAATCATGTAAATTACTCTACAGTTTTGAGCAAATTATGATATGAACAAAATCTTTGAAATGGTAACTATTCAACCCTACTAACTATATTATGAAGGTTATAGTAGAAAATTGAAATGCATCTACAACTCTGGAATTTAGGTGATTCTATAGTGCAACAGACTTTGGAACCATAGGAGGAATGTTGTGGATCCCTTTCCAGTGACACCAACCAAATGTTTCACTGTTCTTCATTTTTGTATTGAAATGAAATGAAATTAAAAATTCTTTATTTTACCAGGCAAAGTTAGGGCCACATGGCCCTCTCTTACACTTAACCTGACAAACTTAAATATAAATATAATAAATTTAATACAATGAAATTTCTTAATCTAATATAAATATAACTTATATATTTAACACATCAAGAACACGTTAAACAAAAATTCAATTAAAAAAATAGTAATTATTATAAATAGAATATACAAAAGAAAACACGTTCACACTCTCACACGCATACGCACCAGCAATCACGCAAAGACGCAGAAGCCCTAGGACACGCCCGCCGAGACCATTTGCTCAAAGAAGGAGATTTTTTAGTGCCGCCACAAACTGGGAGCGTTTATCAAGGGAATGTGTAGGGGTAGGCTGTTCCAAAGATGGCAAGCGGTAACAACAAAAGCCCTGTCATAAGCGGTGGTCACATGATGAGGTATACGCAATGTGATCGAAAAAGAACGAGAAATTCGTGAACTACCTTGAGACACAAATTTAAAATCTGATGTAAAATATTTCGGGGAGCCTGATTTCAAAATTAAAAAGACCAATGACAAAATTTTGATGGATCTTTGATAATTTAATTTCAAGATGTTTGCCTCAAGGTAGTATGGCGTGATATGCTCCACACGCCACAGACCATAGACAATTCTCAAAGCGTAATTCTGAGACCGCTGGAACATACCCGCCTGAATCACAGTCATGTCATTGATCAATGAGTTGCAGTAACTGAAGTGGGGTAGTACAAGTGATTTGATCAAATGAAGTTTTGTGTGTTGTGGCAAAAAGTTCTGCAATCTTTTCAGTGCATGTATGGAGGCAAAAACCTTTTTTAGTGTGTCCGTAACTGCTGTGTCCCAAGTAAGTGAAGAGTTGAAAGATATGCCAAGATTCTTTACTTTGTCGTAGTAGGGAAGTGCTTTGCCACTTACTGTGATTGGGTTTATTGAGTCTAAGTCAATTGAAAGGCGAAGTCGAGGGTGGCAGATTACAATCGGTTTTGTCTTTTCGTGATTTAGTCTCAGTCCATGATTCTCAGTCCAAGTAACAATTCGGTTGACATCTTCATTGATCCTTCTGACACAGTCATTTTCGTTGTTTGCAGTAAAATAGTCATATATTTGTAAGTCGTCAGCGTACATGTGGTGTTTACAGTTGGTCAAGGTCGAGTTTATGTCGTTGACGTACAGTACAAAGAGCAGTGGTCGAAGGATTGATCCAAGGGTTGTATTGTGCCAGGTTACCCCTTAACTTATATGATATGTTCCCAACACCAGTGGGGCAGTGGTGTAGTCATAGATTTTCCAGTATAGGAACACTCCCCAAGGTCATGGAAACATATAGGTTTTTTACTCCTACTGTAGAGGTTTTTTACTCCTACTGTATAGGTTATTAGAAAAAATCTGAGTGTGTTTCCTTTTGTTCCCGCCCCACTACACTACTGAGTGGTGGTGATAAAGCTTTTTCAGACCCTGTGTTTAAAGTGAAAATTTGTTGCAACTTCTCATTCCGTCACTGGCTAGCAAAAAAAAAGTCATATTCAATTTAGTAGAGATGTTGTTTATGTTACATTCCAATAATGTCTGTAGAAATTTCACACGCTCACTTTGAATGTTGATTGTTACATAATACAACAAAAAAGGAATGAGTTTCAAATACTCGTTGACATCAGATGGATGATGTAATTTCGTTAACCACTTGTAACCTGGATTTTCTTAACACTGAGGAATTTTCGTTGATGGCTTTAATTCGCACATGTCATGTTATCTTTACGGTCTAATTAAACTAATCAGTACATAGATGATAATGCAGCTTTGTTGTATTTAATCCCTTTCCTGCGCACTACGATTTAAGTAAGCTATAATAGGTGATGTTTATATAATTTTTTAATTTGTTTAATCAAGGCCCCTTGATTAGATTGTGCAATGTTGATTTGAAAGGCCTTATATTTTCACAATACAACTAAGTTTTTAAAATTCTCCTTGTTGTTGGCTAATGTATCCTCAAACACTAAAAACTTTCACAATTATAATAAGTACAGAGTCCTCCTATTGTGTCAGCTATTTTATTTTTAATCCTCCAATTCCAAACTAAAGATTGAAAATTTTTTAAGGTTGGTTTACAAAGCTAACTGTGTCACTGCAATTGTTGTGCAGGGGATGTTGTCAGAAATATCAGAAAAGCTTGCTATGTCACAATGAGCATCATCGAAACTGGCAATATTGCCAAAGTTAGTGATATTTTAAAAACTGTGACAAAATCATCAATACCGCAAATGTCAGCCAAATTTGAAATGTCGCCTCAAAAAGTGGAGTAATTGGCGATAATACCACAAATGTCGGTGAAGGTAATTATATAACAGCGAATGCAAAGCTCCGTGAACAATAGAGAAGCTGAAGATTCTCTATAACATTGCAGCAACATTTTCATTGGCTCCTGTGATTGTGGTGATGTTCTTATCACCTCATACATTTTTGTGTTAAGAGTGTGCAGTTACTTATGTTGAAGTTAAGTCATTTTATAAAACAACAAATTGTTGCTTGCAGGCAAGATCATTGCTGACAAAGGAGTTAGCTGTTCCAGCCATTTCTGAGGGAATCGCACAGAACCTAGCAACAATGCACCTCATGGATGTTCCAATGAACAAAAGTCCAAGTCGTATGTGGAATTTAATGGAGAGGTGAGATTTTAGTTGAAAATTTATCGTCTACCATGCAAGATATTTCTTACGCTCAATGACTACTGCTTCCATTAACATAGCCAAGATTTTAATAAGCTCAAAAAAAAGCTTGTCTAAAAAAAATAATAATAATTTTATTGTGTTCCTTTTTGTTCAGTGTACCTAATGTCCATGCAATATATTTTTACACATACGCTGTGTCGTTTTGATACTTTCTCAGTTGTGTTTGTTTTAACTCCTGATTGTTTAAAGTGTTGAAAATGGCATGGAATTAATGTGTCTGAACCAGAAGGATTCCACGGCAATTGAAGTTTTATTTTTGTCCTTCCTTGTTGATGAAATTGACCAACCTGGCTTAAAGAATGTATGCATTCAGGTAATGTTGTTTGTAGGGATGGACGAGATTGGATTTTTAGTTCGAGACGAGACGAGACAAGATTTTTTATTTCTCATAAAATTTCGAGACGAGATCGAGACGGGATTTCCCTTCTCATACACAACGGGAAATGCACGTTCAAAATCTTTACCTGATTTTGTAACATTGTTAGATGACTGTTTAAATACTAAAATAATGATAATAGGCAAGAATATTTACAATCTTTTATTAAAAAACATCAGCATAACATTTTTTTATTAATCACGCCTAACTTATTAAAAATGCCTACGATTAGGAAACATAGTGATATCAGTTAGGATAGAGTTCAACTTATCCCAAAATAAAATAAATCATAAAATAAAAGCAATATTAATTTTTATAAAATAGTTACTTGTTTTGACTTTTTATAGTAATAAAACATTCCTTACACTGCTTACACAACAAAACTTCTCAAATGTTATTAAAGTAATATTATTCAAATAAAAAGTAATATTTACATTTAAAGAATTAGTTAAATAAGAACGCCTTCGCAAAGGAAACGCAACTACAACACGCTCCTGTATTGCGGGTATTGCATTGACTTTCTGCAGGCGTTTTTAATTTTTTTTTTTTTTTTTTTTTTTTTATTCTCGTCTCGATAAAAATCTCGGCCAAAAAGAAATCTCGTCTCGTGTAACGAGATTTAAAATTTCCCGAAAATTTCCCGAAATTTCGAGACTTGACCATCCCTAGTTGTTTGTTTGATTGACATCTCGTCATGTTCACAGGTGGCTTGAGACAGCTGAGTATCTCGTAGAGCAAGGGTTCAGTGACAATGCTGATTGGGAGAACATGATCTTGAAACTGCAAGAGCTTGATGTCAGAGCAGAGTATAACTGGCTGAGGTAGAATACTTACAACAATTAATACAAACTAGTAAACAGAAGACAGGTAGGGTGATAAGAGGCCAAAGTCTAACATCCAGCAACGGCCCAATGACAAATGTCACTTGAACTGTCAGTGCTCTGTCACCAACCTTTGCGGGAAGTTCCCGTTGACCAGTAATTTCGGTATTAAATCTAGTAGACCTAATTTTCGTCTTGTGGTGTACTGTGTGTTAATACAATGAATCAGGTCATGGAAACAAGTAGACTATAATAGATTTTTTAAATAAAAAAAAATGTATTTTTTTAAATTTTTCTCTTAGATATGGAAATATCAAATTTTTAAACAGCCATTGTGTAGAGCTTAAAAAAAAATTGTTCATTAAGTATTGTACAATTAAAGGTGACAGGGTAAATTTCAAAAACTTTACATTTTTACATGTTATTCTTATGGAGAAATAGAAAACTGTTGAAGTTTACTTCTTATATAAGTTACTTGATATATGTTTATCAAATTTGGCAAATTTATTTACTTGTTTCATCCTATACTATTAACGTTTGGTCAGAAAACACGTTTTACTTTCCCCTAGCAGTAAACCTAAGATCTTGATAAATCTCATTTAAGTTATTTAAATGGGGAGTAAATATGTCTTGTTTATGGAAATAATATTTAGTAAAAAATAAAAATCCAATCAGACTAATTGAAATTTGCTCAGGCTGTAGGTTTGCTGCGGCAGGAGTATTTTAATACTTCAAAATATAAATAGATATTTGAAAACAGTAGCTCAGTGGTACAGTAGACCCCCTCTTAACCGACCCTAATCGGACCGAACCTAGGTCGGATAACTCAAATGGTCGGTTAAAAAAGGTTGTCCCTAAAAACTTGTAAAAATGAAGTGCTATTCATTTGGAATGATATATATAATCATTACTGAAGTCGTGTGTGCATTATTTACAAAATAAACTACACTTATTTCCGTTTTTTCTTAAGCATTAGCAATAGAAAAGTAAAAAATGACTTAACCCTTCCCGGACGGGCAAAATCATGACATAGGACGGGAAAAAATTAGAGGAAAAAATAAAAATTAATTTTTCATATTTGCGATTTTTGGTTAATGCGATTAAGAGGGGGTCTACTGTAAGGCCTTTAATTAATGCTGCCAGACTTTGCTATTTCGAGACTGGCCAATGTATGGTACCATTTCATCATCACCTGGTCACCTACAGCGTGCCTATTTGAATTAAATGATAATGTTACTTCACTGTTTTTTATCAAACAAGTTTTGTTTGGAGACACATTTATTAAGGACTGGGTAAAAACTAAAAAGTTACCAAATAACTGAACAAGGGTTCAACTTTTAATGGAATTCTCAATGTTAATAATAATTATCATAGGTTTAATATGTGGACATCACATAATAGATTTATTAAAAACAAGTTGTTTCACCCTTTCTGTACAAAACATGTTCTCTGACACCCTAGTGAAAATTTAGAGTAGTTTATATTTTGGTTAAAGAAATACACAACTTTATATTTAATTTATTCGCAGGAATATCCTGAAAGAAGTATCCTCTCCAGTGGTGTTTTGCCACAACGACTTGCAAGAAGGAAATATTCTACTACGACAGTCTGAAGATGGTTCCGATCCACCCTTAGACCATGTCACTGCCGATGATCTAGTATTCATAGACTACGAGTATTGCAGTTACAATTGGCGGGGGTTTGACATGGCCAATCATTTTCTTGAGTGGATGTACGACTATAAAAATGATTCTCATCCATATTTCTGGGCAAGACCAGTTGAAAGACATGCAACCAAGGATCAAAAGGTAAAATTTTTTATGAGAACTTTAAACTAATGAAAAATTAATTATAACCAACTGAGCTTTATTGTTGCTGTAAATATGTAGTAAATGAAACGTTCTCGTAAAAAAATTATGTGCAAATCAGGCCTGTGATTTGCAATTGATACACTATGGGCTCCAAAAGATAATTGCTCCCATTTCCACCTACTTTGTGGGGAATTTTCTTTTACCTTATGCCCCTAACAAACCCTGGACTTGGGACCATTTATTAAAGCGTGCATATAAAGGTGCATATAAATATAAATTGAAAGGGATTATCCTAAAGTGTCTGAGGAAATTAACAACTTTTGAAATAATAGTGAATTTTATATTTTAAGCTGTATTTGTAGTATTCCATCACTCTCTTTTAAGATAGTTCAAAGAATTTCTTTTTAACTTTTAAACATGCATTCTAAATATTGTTTTTACAATTCATGCAGATGACATGATTGATCAAAGCGAAAGTTTAGACTTCAATTTGGGAAAATGATTTCTTTCTTGTTGAATGTTTTTTATCCAAGTGATTCTTTCCACAGGAAAGATTTGTCAATGCTTACCTAGAAACCCTGAAGAATTCCCCTGGTTATAAAGAGAAGCCTGAAGACACTGTGGAAAACATCATGAAAGAGATCGAATTCTACACTCTGGCATCACACCTGTTCTGGGCTTTTTGGAGTGTAGTTTCCAACTCAAAAATGTTCTCCAGGGAAGTGGAATTTGACTACTGGGTAAGATATTCATTTATATTCATATTCAGATAAGCATTTTATTCGAGTCACCATTTTAGAATACCACGAGTCACCATTTTAGAATACCACGTACACATTATACCATCAATGTAATAGAAAACATACAGCTGTAAGAGCAATAACTTTACCAAAAGAAAGAAAACTAGAATTAACTTACAATAGGCTACCTATTTATTCCTAACTTATCTACGACAACCTTTATGAACCTTAAGATGAAAGAGATTGTATAAATACTTAGTGAGAAAGTCAATCCCACTTGTAAATGATCTGTTACACTAAAAGTAACAGTCTTTTTAATACAAAGAGTGGTAAATTGAAAATTTTTCTCTGCATAGCTTTAATTATTGACCAATGAAATGTGTATCATAAGCCTATCTGCCTATAGGTATGTATTTAAATTTAAATACATATATATTATATAGTTTTACTCACGAATACTAGAAAAATACCCGGTATGGATCATAAACATAAACAAATGACGTTGCTGGCCCGAATCCTATACTAATAGCATTGAACATATGTTTTGGCAGTTCCATTTAAGCAATGTTAAATAATGTTTATTTTTGGGCCAAAAATATCATTTGTTGATGTTTCTGATCCATACCAATATTTTTCTAGTAATCGTGGTTTTACTTAAATTTAAGTGAATTTTCCCTGTAGGGAAGGAGCTTTTACCGTAGGTTTCATGGTAAGACCCAAACTCTACACCTATCTACTTTTTCATAAAAAAAAAAACACACTATTTGCTAAAATTTATATAAAGGTGTCCTTAAGCATGATGACTCAAGTAAAAATTATCCGATTTTGATCCAAATTTGGTACGAACGTGTAAACCTAGAAATATCCAAATGATTAAATAACTTACGTCATCAATCCATAAATTTCTGTGGAGAACGCGTTTCAACCATCAGGTCATCCTCAGCTCCACTGTCACTAGGTTGAATCTGTTTCTATGTTGCATTGATTTTGTAGCAACAACGTCGATATATTAAACAAATAGGACAAACACATTTTACGTTCATTACACATATACGACACGTACGAAACATTTAAATGACGATAAAACTACGATTATAACACCGTGCGCACGGTGTTATAATCGTAGTTTTATCGTCATTTAAATGTTTCGTACGTGTCGTATATGTGTAATGAACGTAAAATGTGTTTGTCCTATTTGTTTAATATATCGACGTTGTTGCTACAAAATCAATGCAACATAGAAACAGATTCAACCTAGTGACAGTGGAGCTGAGGATGACCTGATGGTTGAAACGCGTTCTCCACAGAAATTTATGGATTGATGACGTAAGTTATTTAATTATTTGATAACTCAATCCGTTGTGCTACAGTATCAACATTATATATCCAAATGAGTTTGCGAACCCGTATGATTGGACTAGCCTATTCCAAAGAAACATAAGGAATAAAACTAAGTGCACAGAAGATTAAGAAACGTGCAAGCAAGTGGGACCATGTAAGTCAGTGAGTTAAAGCTCCGAGGGATTTTGTTGTAGTTCAAAGCAGGCGTCTCCAACCTACGGCTCGTGGGCCGCATCACAGAAAACATAGGTACTACTATAACCCAGAATGCCAACTGCATGGTAAAAACCATTAAGTGTTTTGAGAGAGCTTTGCCTGTCAATCCGTAGGCAGCGCCACCAGCGTTGCCATGCACTCAGCATAGCAACGCTGGTGGCGCTGCCTACGAATTGACAGGCAAAGCTCTCTCACACTTAATGCTTTTTACCATGCGGTTGGCATTCTGGGTTATAGTAGTATGTTTTCTGTGGCCGCATCCACAAAGAGCAAGGCAAAGTCCTACTGAGAAGTAATTGAGAAATAATCCTTACTCAAGGTCCGGCAACACCTACGAGCATATTGTGCGGTTTCGGCATTATTGTGATCGTCTCCTCCTATTGCAACTGTACTGTAAACATCTCTAGCGGTTTCATTAATAGTGTGATGAACTCTAGGGATCACGATTTACTTATGATGTTAAAACAGAACCAATGGAACGTCGTAATGAGTTTGGGCGCATTGGCTATTGGTGATCCATTTAATCCCTGGTCCATTCCAAATTCAAGGACTATTCTCCTTGCCCAAGTTGGTTGGACACCCTGTTTAAATATGTGTATTGTGTATAGTACACTTCTTTCACTTTCCATGTTTATTCCGATAAAAAAAATTCTTTAAGCATGTGCAAATTACCATGTGCCATGTACCAATCGAGCTATCTAAATACAGATTGTCCAAGGACAACAAATTGTAACCCTGATTGGGCTGACCTTGAAGGGGCAAATACAAAATACTGTTCATTTTAGCTTCACACTCCTTGTAAACTAATTGTTCCATTACAATTAAATTTTTGATAAGTTTTGGAGTTGTGTCATTGTGTCATCCTGTGTTTTCATCAGCACTACCTAAGAACTCCCATTACAGAACAAATATAATATCATAGTAAATATACTGTACAATTAATTTATATTTTAGGTACTTTATTGAATTTGAAAAATCAACACGTTTGACGAATTATAAATATGACAAACACAATTTAAATACCCATACAAAATTATGTGAGGTAAGTCAGTTATTGTTTTTTTTTTTGTCACAGCATCGATCGCACAAATTACGTAAAAAAACCTTAGTAAGTCAACAAGTTATATAAATAAGCAATTAAAAAATCAGAAAGAAAATGTCAAAACCTACCGCTGAGCTCTTAATTAGAAAACTACCTCATTGTAAGTTATTTGGAGAGACCTACCTTTCTGCACTGAAATGTTAACAGTTTGGGCCCGCCTTTCCTCCAAACATTGATGATGCAGCCCTCGAGTAAAAAAGGTTGGAGACTTCTGGTATTAAGTAATAAAGTCTCTTACACAATTCAATTTTAAAAAGGTTCAAATACCTGCTATTAGGCAATCCAATCTTGTTGCAAACACAACTATATTTTTGTTAGTCTGGACTCAAACTACACCGGGTTAGCATCCTCTGTTTCTTAACTGATCGGTTACCATAAATGTTTTGTATTCGTGTTTGTGTCATGTTTAAGGCCTGTTTTGCCAGAAGCGGCTGGTGCGTCTGACGCTTAGCGATTATCTCTCTAGCGATCATTATTCAGCGTCCATCGCTCGGGGCTATTTCGCCAGAAGCGTCTGTTCTTTGCGATTATTTGATCAGTGAGTGGTTTTCTTTGGTGGCAAAATGAGTGCTGCTTTGTGAAATGATCTGTAAAAAGCAAATAGTGAAGTATTTGTTACCCAAGGAATTGGATGATGAAGAGATTTTAGAAATTTTGTGCGAACCCAGGGAAGAAGTGTGTTCTATGTTTTTGAAGAGGCCTGAAGAGGGATATTATATAAATTATTAATAGGAAATCACCTACGCTCTAGGAAAACGGGGTGTACTTAAATGGTTTCAATCAATTTATTATCTTCTTCGGTTTTAAATCCCCACTTTGAATGTGTCATGTCATTTAACTTACAAACTGAGTTAAAAACACAACTAAAAATTTAAGAACGGTCGAACAGCAAAATTTGTGTTTCTTCTTCTAATAGACGCTAGCGACTGATCTCCGCAGTGATCAACGATAGACACTGGCGGCTTTAGCGATAAACGCTTCTGGCAAAATAGACTAACCTGAAACAATGCAAAGCAGTGGTCAGCGATTGACGCGGAGCGATCATCACTGAGCGATAGACACACCAGCCACTTCTGGCAAAACAGGCCTTTAAATGTTTATTTATTTTTGTGTTAAATAATATGAAGATTATACAGCCTGATGATGACTCCGCATAGGAGCCGAAAGATTGGATTCCTAATAGTAGGTATTTGAAACTTGATAACACTATTTGGCAATCCGGAGGCTAACATCTACAATGAAACAAATCGATAGATTGTTTCACTAAAGATTATTTCTGATGTGTTTCAGTGCTATGGAGAAAGAAGGTTTGATGGATATTTCAACCAGAAGCAGAAGCTCATAAAAGATTACAATTTGTGTTGAATGTGATGTGAAGTGAACAGCGAGTGGCTTCCCAAAGACTGAACCAACAAAGTGCTGACAATAAGATTTTTCCAATCCTTTGCTGTGATTTGGTGTTATTCCTACAAGTAACACACTCGTATTGTTATTACCTTAGTTGCTGTGTATATATTTTTGTTAGTTAACTAAGTTTTTGTCACAATGTGTTGAAATAAGTTATACTTAAAGTAGTTAGATACTTATAAGTGATAGAAGTCTATTGACATTAAAACTGTTTCCTATTTTCAAGCAAAACCTGCTTATTGAATAAAAATATATTTATTTTCTTTGCTATTACTGAATGTTTTCTTCCAGCCTTAATTGACTTGACCTTTAGGTTGGGGGAGTATTGTTAGTTGTTATTTGAACTATTGTTATTTGAGTATTGTTATATTGCCATTTAAACTTTCAAATCACTTTAGTTGATTTGTTGTTAGGTAATGGGAAACATGTAGTACCTTAAATAATAGCTGAATACTTGTGGTATAACCCCTGTCAAAATATTTTTATGTATATTTAATACACTTCAATAAAGTAACCATCGCTTCAGACATCCAGTTATTAGGTCTATTATAGCTCACACATTGCACATCCCTTATAACAGTGAAGGAATAGCATATTCTTCCTCTCAAATGAAATGTACGGAAAGTAACCTCTCTTTGGTCTCTGTGTGGGAAGTAGAAGGGGAAGTTTGTTTAATACGTGGCTTAAGAATTTCACTTAATGAATTGCTTGATATTTTTCAATAGACCATACATAATATAACTTTTGTTAGAAACAACTTCTGTCTTATCAATTTTACTCGATTTAATGATCAATCTTTTTGGTAACACATGAATGGCACTTGTACGCAGACCAAATATTCCTTTTTAAAGTGCCTGTATAAACTGTGATATATTGTTAGGTATTGAAACCACAGTTAAAAAAGAAATATCTTTTTTAGATATCTGTCTACTTAGTGTACACAGTTTGATCCAGGGACAAAACGTCTTAATTGGCCTCTATTCGATATCTCATTACATTAATTATTTATGACTTTTATTTATTAGTAAAGATTACGGCTAAGTTTTAAATAAATTCAATTTCAATTGTGGGTTTCGATGTAGTTTGTGTATTTTTTTATCAAAGAGTCAATGGCCATGGCCACAGGGTATTTTATGATACTGTGCTTAGGAAAATAATGTAAATTTTTGTTTTTCATGCTTTATGTTTGATTTTTATGGTCCTCCATTAATCTGGCGATCTTAATAATACTTAGCCTACTATCTGGTCTGATATAATAGTAGACCAGTGAGACCCTACTGTAACGTTTGTCAGAATATTGAAGCGTTTCGTTGGAATCTCAAAGTAAGCACTTTTATATGGTCTAGATGAAAACTTGAAGCCAATATGAATAATTAATTAATTATTGTCCAAGACAATCCACAAAATCAGTAAAACCACCGACATCATATTTTTAGCACATTTAGCATTCTTGATAATGATTTGTAAATGCATTACTGCTAACTGCCTTATCAAAATTATTCGTTTATGTTTGATGAATTTGTCAATATGGCTAAACAAGGTCAAATTCATTAACCTTAAAATTAAACACCTCTTCTTGGGATGGTAACCTTTATTACCAAGGAGAAATCTTGGACCAAATGAAGAAATTTGATTAAGGAAGAAAAAATTGATGTAGATGTTTGATTACACTATTGAGTTGATTTTAAAGGATTATTAGATTTAAATAATCATCAATTTGCATCATTGCAATCAACAATCACCAACCATGCATATGGCAAAATGGTCTTGCAATCAGCCCTTATTATGACATATGATTATTCAGCAAAAGAAAAATTATTATACTTAACACAAAGTATTATGAATAAGGAAAGCGTTTGAGATTCAAACCATGCATGTCAAAGAGAAAATAATATGTCATTTGTCTTACACATTTTGCCAATCTTCTGAAAATATTCTGTAATAAAATAATTTATTATTTACAATGAAGCTTAGAATTAACTGATATAGGTAAAGGAACACACTTTTCATGGATTAATAAGGTTATATTTTCGTACATAATTTTGTACAGTGTAACATATTTCTAGTCCTGCTTGAAATCTAAAACGTATAAAAAATACAATGAATCCCACCACTATGAAGCGATTTTTTTTCTACCAAAATATGTCTACAGCATTCAAATACTGCCATAGAATTCAACAGTACAAAAATCACGGAAGTCGATAGAGTGTTCCTATGATAAATACAACACTCGAGTCTTTTTTTGTATTTTGCAAAGATTTTCCATTCATAAAATGACATAACTATAGAGCAGGCTTGCTGCTTCGTGTTGTTTATGACACATTTAATAGTGGCCAGCACTGAATGGAATATTGCTTTAAAATGATTTATGTGTGAGTATGACCTACATTATCTACAGGAAATCACTACAACGGAAACTTAAACTGTCAGCTTTGGAAGACCAAATCTCTAAGTATGAAATTTGAATTAATAATTTTGACTGTAATTATAACTTGTAGTAAAACTCCATGAAACTTTTCATTGATATTTTAAAAAGAAACATTTTGGTTGTTTGACTTTTGAAAGGTAAACAATTGTAATGATAGAGAATGAGAGCACATGGGTAGGGTATGAAAGTTCCTGTGTTCTAAGGAGGGCACCATAACCAATCTAATACTCTCCACTATGTAGCTTGTTCATTGCTTTTGGCACAATATTTTTTGTAGCTTTAGAGCTCTGCTATTTGATAGCTTAGAATGAAAAAAAAAATAAAGTTGTAACATTTTAAATGCCTCCACAGAGAAGTAAGATACAGAGGAAATATTCAATGGTACACTTAAGTGGTGTATAGCGCTAGTGCTGGTGTCCATGGCAATGACACCAGCATTTATCATCAATGACACCCTACTATAAAACTAATCTCCATGTAATATGTAATGTGTTGTATCCATGTATTACAACGCTCTCGGTAGAGGAAGACCTGTACCTGCCGATAGGAATTTCCACATAGTGCTCGCCGTTGGACTCTCTTTCTTCCTTGCTCGTCAAGTCTTTTTCCACTCCAACATACCAGAGCTGAAAGCGCTCGGTTGTCCCATAAGCTTGCAATCCTCTGTGCCTTACTTCTCTGTGATGTCTCTTACAGAAAACTTGGTGATTCTGGTCATGGTTATCACTTCTCTATAACTAACGCTTTTGCTTTCTTGTTAGTAACTAATAATACACTCTTTATAAATTAAATTTTAGTACAGTACATTATAGTTGTAAATTGAGATAAAAATTAGTTACAAAATCAGGTTTGGTATTTTGGAAAAAATATATGCTAGTTCATACATTTGATTTGATACATAAAAAAATAAATAAATTGAAATTGCATTTATGAAAGTATATATGGATGGCTTGGTTTGGGTTTTGATAATTTCAGCTTATGATGAAGTGACCAACCAGTGGTGATTATGGAAATCTGGTTGTTTGATCGGAGTCATTCCTACTATACTGAAATAAACTGGGGCGTATAGTAACAAACCAGTCAAAAATAGTTCATGTTGTTAATGGCTATATTCTTACGATCCTTTAGTCTATAACGAGTTCCAGTTAGTCCATATCAAAGTCCTAAGTATGTTTTTAAAGCTTAAGTTTTGTTTTATGAAATTTAATTATGGTAGGTTCCGTTAATTAGCAAGGCATTTAAATATTTTAAACTAAAGAACAGAGTCTACTTCCAACTTAGTGAAATTGTAGAGGAAAATACCACAGCAAACTGTAGTAAAGATAAGAAAAACAAAACAGACAGTTAACTAAAAACTCATCAAATGTTAACTACTGTTTCATCCAGTAGCAACTAGCAAGATGTTACTACAGTGTAGTATATATGCCTAGTCTGAACTTCCCATTAATTATAGGACTACAAGTAGAAAACATTTTCATGGGGGAACATGTTAGTTAATGATCCAAGTCTATTATAATTATTATATCAGGAAAATATGAAGGAGTATCAACAACCTGTGATAAATTCAAGGGTTCTGCCTGCTAAGAAATTGTTTTTTAAACTAACGATTTTGTGGAAATGATAAGCATTGGGTGAGTTAAAATGGAGAGATAATTGCTTTATTTTCTGTGATAAACCATTTTTTCTGTCTATATGTTGTCACAGACTGCTCAAAACTGGCAATATAACTATTGTGAGTGAACATCTTCTTCACTAGAGCAACGTATTGCAAATACTACAGCTGAAGGAGGGTTTTCATAGCTGCTGAATACGGCTGCGGGATTGTGAATGTCATGCGAGTTTTCTAGTGACTGTGTTTTTCATTAATTTTTCATCCTCAGACGAAGAGAAAATAACATGATGACAAGAACATTAGTTTAAGATGGTCTAAGTTTGAGATTTAACTTACTGAATGTTATACTTCAGAACATAAATTAACTGAACTGATATTATTAAACTGATTGAAATATTAAACACAAAGTCACTGTTACAACTGACTGAACTGGGAACCGGAACAATTCACTTTTGCATTACAAACTGTCAAAAATAGTCGAGGAACGCGTCTTGTCTGAGGGTTTTGAAGCAGTCACCTGTTGCGGGATTCTTGTGTATTGAGTTTGTAATGAAAAAAAACAGCCATATTCAGCGACCGAATTCGTAACATTGGAAAACGAGCCTTGAATCTCAAAAGGACATCTACAGAGTGTAACCATCATTGCATTGATTATGACAGACCCTAGATGTTTCCCCTATAATAATAACTAGAATAATTACTGTCTTAATAGCATTGAACTAGCTCTTTTGCTCACAAAATTCTGACTGAAGGATTGCCACCAATTTTATTTGTAATAAACCATAATACATTTATTCCAAGTGAATTTAGCTGATCAATGTAAAAGATATTGTTTATATGTATTCCATTTAGTTTAAGTGACTAACATAACAAAACCAATTACATTTCATTTTCAAGATGTGTTATTAGTGTAGTAAATTAATCATTGAATCAGCAAAATGCTGTGTTGCAGAAATTCATGTGTATTGACAGTTCAATGACCAAAAATTGACCGTCCACTTGACTGTGGGAAGCCTACCTTCCAAAATTTTATTATGGATTTAAGAAAAAAAAACACTATACAATGAAAGTTTGTATTATTTTTACTATCCTAACAGCATGTTAAAAGTTAATTTGTAAACACTGTAGGTCAATTTAATACATACAAAATTGGTAAATATAAATTTTTTAATCAGGATATTGTCAGCAGCTCATTTGCAATGCTGCAAAACCTCTACCTAACCAGCTGACGGAATCACATTGATAATGACCATGTATGGCTTCTCTGGCTGAATTAAGGTGGCCAACTGGTTTTGACAATAGCGATGGCTTAAACCCTGATAATCAAGGTATACACGATGGCTTATTTAATTATCTACAAGGTAGATGATAACCAAGATAATATAATCATTTCTAATGGGGGCAATATTATGAAAGACTTACTGAACTTATATAACAAATTACAAACTATTATATATATTTTATTAATGGCCTTAAATTTATTTTTTCCTTAGTTAAAATAGTCACAAAAAAGCATAACAATTTTCATTTGTTTTTAATGATTTCATCAAGGTAAAAACAGAAAAACTAAATTATAGTGAGGGTTCTGTGATGAGCCTTTATAGCCCTAGGGAACAAAATCTAGATGAACCTCGTAAGTGCATGTATAATAGGTGTATTTCTAGGGATAAAACAATAACAAACTGCATAGTTCAAAGAAGATATAAAACTGATCAAATAAACTGATAACCTTTTAAAGGCGATATATTAAAATAGTCTCACTAAAAATTAACTTCTTTCTAATAACACTGCAAAAATAATATGTTTTGTTATAAAATAAAAGTACATCTCACTCATTAGAGGATTAAAATAAAATAAAGTTGAGTTTTTTAAAAACTGTGACATCATTTTACACTTTAGATTTGCCTTCCAAAAGGAGCCATAGCGTTAACTACTGGTCAAACGCCGACATAACGAGAACCAATATTATAAACTTTACATTCCTAATCATATTTACATTATTACATGTTTGTTCACACAAATAAAAAATACATTAGTTACTTATTCCGACACCAGAACGGTTAAATGAAAACCACTACATCGTAGCGTAACGTATTTACGTGTTTACAATAAATTTATCTTATTTCTATAATCACAGCTTGTTTTATCAGTGACTAGTGCAGTTAGTTGGTCTCGTATGTGGTGAGAAGGGCAGCGTCGACGGGCTCCATGCACGACGGGCAAGTGAAACTCCGCATGAGCCAATCATCGATGCACTTGACGTGGTATGTGTGCATGCATGGTAGATAACGCACACAATCTCCTACTACCAGCTCCACCATGCAGATCACGCATCTGTGCAAATAAAATCCAATGTTACCCAGTTACAATTGTACAACTAGACCAGAGTATGTTTATATAAAAGACTCATTTCTGTTGAATACACTACTTTTTAACCAGGCCAATCTGGAAAATATATTTATTGTAAAATACATCTTTTGTATAATATAAACTATCGTACAAATTTCACAATAACTCACTGTATGAGTGGCTCATTTGAATATGTTCTATTTGTATGAGAAACTATGTAAAACTCGTCCAAACAGATGGGATGTCTACCCTCAATCTAAAAGTCAAAGATTTTACTTACACTGCTACCATATCAGAGCAGAGGAGGTCTGAGCTATGTAAACAGCAATAAATGGGCAAATGCACATGCCTGACAAGTGACAATGGGCTATTTTGTTGCTTCAACCCACGTTTTTTAATTAGCTCAATAGGTTTTTCTAACAGATTTTAAAAATATTTTGTGTCAATGGAGTAGTGTTTGTGTGAAACAGTTTTTGGTATATTAAATAGTATTAGTCTACTTTATAAACTTGCTTTAGTCTGTTTAAAGTAACTAATTAAATGTTTTAGTAGTAAAAAGAATTGAATATTTCATTCAAGAAGTCAGTTTCAGTAAAATTAAAGATTCGTTTATTTTACTAATCAAGAAATAATAACCAACCTCAACCAAGGTTGTATCATGGTGTTTGAAATACCCATTGTTAATAATGGATAACATAATTTAAGACTCATGCCAAATTTAAAGAAGTTTTTAGATAAAATTTCTGAAGTGGAAAACAGACTGGCATCTCTGTGAATAACTTACGATTTTCTGACAATTTAACTTAGTGCTAGTATTAATCTACTATTGTTTATAAACACAATGCATACAACTTGATTGAGATTACTTAAAAACTTGATAAATACAATTTTACAAAGAAAAGCTAAAATGGATTTTAAACTATCCATCTCTTAAATTGATTATTAATAGAACAGCCAATTGCTGCACACATATTATTTTTTTAGGTGCAGAGAATAGCAATGAAATATTACTTAATACTAATTAAGTAACAACTAACTGATAAGTGTGACTATCTTATGGGTCTCATGATATTTCTTATCATTCAGCTGAAGAAAGTAATAATCTGCAGTTCTTGACAAAGTGCTGTTAAGCACTGGATATTGTGCAATTATTTGTTTAATTTTCTATGTCAAGTAAATTACAACCAGGCATTTTGCCACCAAAATTTCAAATGAACACAATATTGAAGCCCATGCATCTTTAATCAGCTTATATACTTATTTATTTACTTAGCCTACTGCATTTTCTGTAAACTAATAGCAGGTTTTCTTAGAGAAAACTTTTACATCAGTAGGTTGTATTTAGTTAAAAGAGAGAATACTCAAAAGAACATACATTATGTTTACATTTTATAGCAACAAATAAATTCTTCATTAGTTGTCAAAATTATGAAGTTTGTTTAACCTGTATAAATAGTGACAAATGTTTAGATTGTTCTTGAAAAGGGTATATATAATAGACCTAAAGGAATAGAGATAATAGAGAGATAGGTATAGAAAAGGTATAGGTAATAGATAAGTTTAAAAAATAGTATGCCGGCATGAAATCCTACAAATGCTCGGATTAAGAAGAAACCTTATATACCACGTGTAGGCTAAAATTACATTTGCTGGGGTTATACATAGTACGTACATTATTTTCATAGGATCTCTTTTACTCCGAGTAATATTTATCGAAAAGAAAAAGTTTTTTCTTAAAGCTGATAGAGTTCAGATGTTTGTAAAGTTCCGAAGCAGTTATATACCGTATTATTTTAACAATATTAATAAAATATAGAGCCTGATATTTTTTTAATAGATTCCTAAATAATAGAATGGAGCATTTAGAGCAAAATGACACTTTTAATTAGTTTTTGAAGTGGGAAATTATTTATATGTAGCCCAAAACTTAAAACCCGATCACCCAATGCATGGACTTGATTGCAATTAGGGAACAGAACAAAGAAACTAAAGATCTCTGCATAAGCAATACATAATGATAGCAACAAAAATCAGTTTTTAAATTGTGACAAATTGATCTGGTTATTTGCATCTAACCCCCATTTAAACACGGTCTAACATAGCCTTAAAAATAAAAACCAAATAAACATTAAAACTCCCTATTTCCATGTAAACAATACCCTTAGCCTAATTCATACACACACCGGGTTTTTATAAAATAATAGTGGGCTTAAGATCCCAACTGGTGGCTTAGCAGAGATGTCCCTACAACATGGTCTCTATGAAACCAAGACTTGACCTAGTGTGATTTTGTTTATTCAAGAGAAAAACATCTGAATTCAGCTCTTCTGGGAGAAAAGTTAGATATGCAATCTCCAATGTTGTAAGATAAATGTTGTGCAAGGTGGGGTGAAATAGTCCATCGTATGGATACCTGCAGAGCAACAATAATTTGTGTAGTTATTTTCAATAACTAATCCCGACCATTATTTTATAAAAAAACTCTGTATAAATAAAGTGTATAACTAAGTTGGTAAACTTACTCTCTGATTTTTTTACAGCCATCATAAGTTCCAGTAGGCAAGTGTTGAATGAGTCCGAGTCTTTTGGCAATCTTTACTTGTTCCTCTTCAGTCAACTGAGTCACTGGACGACTTATGTTCGGGGAAGGGTAATACACTGGGAGTGTTTCCTGCAAAAGTAAAGCTAATTGTAGCTTCTACATCAAAAGATCACACAACTTTTTTTATGGTCAAACGTACAAATACAATTAATTTTTTGTAACTCCCACTGCCAACTAGGCTTATTACAAACGTTTTACCTTTGGAAAGTAAATTATCTCAGTACCAGAACTTAAATCAATAATTAACACTTGCATTTTGATACTTTTTGTATGAATGTTGTCAGAAAATAAAGGAAATGATTTTGAAATTTGAGATATGTTTTGGGTTTTAGTTTTACGCTCAGTAATTGGTTAAATGTACACTTTGAATGAATTGTACGGACACAACGTAAAACGGTTCACTGCAAAAATGTAAACAAATTACAGTATTCTATTAAGTAATTCATCTAACGGATGTACCTGGCCGCCATTTTAAAACAAAAAGAATGAATTAATATTTTTACCTAAAATAACAGGTCTTTGCTTTAACATGTGTACCAAATATCAATTTACTACAAAAAGCTGTTAACAAAAAAAAAAGTTTGTGAAAAAGACCGAATGGAGGCTGTATGAGTAACTTTTGGCAGACTTCCAAATGTTACTGACAACGTTGAGTTTTTTAACATGATATTTAAGTTTGTCTTTGGCCCAGGAATGATATCTTAATAAATCAATAAACAGTTCGGGGAAACCCTGTATATGTTTGAGACTAGACTTTTTGAGAGCCAATAAGTGTATGATGAGGAAAAGATCAACTTTAAAGCATACAATGTTTAGTTTGTCACATCTAGATCTCTGTAAAATAGAATCCTTACAAAAATCATTAATGTGATAAAATAAGTTTTCCAAGATTATTTGTTATATTATAATTACTCTTACCTATACTTTGAAAGTTTACATTCTAATTGTAAATATACTGAATAGTGTTGCGAGATATATTTTATTAAATCTGTTATCACCCGCTATCAGAAATATACTTTATCGCAAATTATTTTAAAAAGCTAAAATATATCATCATGTATTTCCCGAACCTTTACTTTAAAATATATTTGAGGAATGAATTTATCTTGATGTTTTATCATGTCTCAAAAAGAAAGCAGTGATTATATGAATAAACTGAACGGTGAAAACAAAAATGCATAACACATTGAAATGATGCAGCAATCCAAGCTCCCATTAATGTGTAAATTAGGAAATTTGTAAATTAGTTATACCGTACCCATTTGTATATCTTAGCCTACAAATTAGGTTAAGTTTAATTACTGGTCAGAGGGAAATATGTTCAGGACAGAAAACATACAATTTGACTGACAGTGCCACATTATTCAACTGTCCTCGATGATGAAATTAGATAGACAAAGTTACTTCTTCGAGAACCATTTTATCACAGCACAAGTTTAATTTATTATTTACTTGTTTGCCAGAACCATTTTTCAAAGCATTGGGGTTTACAATATTTACTTTAAAAATATAATGTAATTTGTAGAGGTATTCTTTCAGCTTTTTTGAAGTGCAATCAATAACATTCAAGTGGATGAAGAGGACAAAGCGAGATAAGCATTTAACCTATCAATTCTTGTGACAATGCATGTATCAGTTCTTTATTGATCACATGGTTTTGCTGTGAGATCAATTGTTTCCATATTACAGGAAAAGGAATGGCTATTGGAAGAAACTGCCCAAATGTAATCCAATCAAGATAACTGAAGTAATCAATTTTAACAAACAAAACACTCATGAGTATGAGTAATGAAAGACTGAAATGGGGTGGGTTTTCCTGTGCTGAGACACTAATGTGACATACAGATTTGCTTATAATTAATAATAATCTTTAAACACTAGCCTGAGCCAATTTTATTTGAAATGCCTTGATTTTAAACCTTTTTAAGCCTACTAGGCACCACTCCAACCAATAAGGAGAGGTTGAAAGAGCTAGAGAAGAAATATGATATAAAGACTTTCAGAAGACATTTTAGAGTTTTCAATTAATTTACTAAGGCAACTAGTTTCCAGTTATGGATTGGATCCTTATTGCAGCCTTATTTTAATTTTAATTTTCTCCCCAGGTATCAAACAGTGGGTATGGATTTGCTGTGAAATTTTAATATCAATGTTCAACTATTTCAGTCAAGTTTCAAGAGAAGGATATGGACTTCAATCGAATTTCAGGTTTCTTCAACTCACTGAGCAACCTGTTGTATTAAAATGTTTGGAGCCTTTTAAAAAATGCATTGAAAATAACCAAATTGTAACTGCACTATATTTTCAGACTTGTTACTATATGCATTGTATTTTTATTTTTATAATCACTTCTTAAGGAGAAATTAGGATAAACAACTAACTCACATGAAGAAAGAGTCGCAGAAACTTAAATGTGTTACTTTTTTCTGTTCTTTTAACTTCCTGGGACTCTTTCTTCAGGTGAGTTAGTTGTGTATCCTTCCTTTCTCCTTAACATCCTTCCTTTCTCCTTAACAAGTTCTTAAAGCCAAGTTGCTTTTTTCCCTGAACAATTATTTCAATTATCAGTGCTATTTAGCAAAGAAGCATGCACACACTAATTTCACAGTCTGTTGCCAGCTGTTTCTTGCTAAATCGCTGAAATGCAGGCCTGGACTGACCAGGTCCGCGATCGCGCAAGGGGGCCTTGAAGGAGCCTCTACTCAGCTTACAAAAAATGTTCTTGTATTGTTAGTAATAATGTTTTATATAAGTTGCCTAAAGTAAAACAACTGTGTCAAACAACATACCCAGATCTTGCCGTTTATATGAAAGCTTTATACAAACGACTCTATTGGGTTACATTATTGTGGTGTAATGAACCATCTGGACGGTAACGTTTGTTTAGTAGAGAACTACAAAGCGATGCTCTTTCATAAATCAGCTGATTACTCAGTAGGGTGTGCAAAAGTGATGGGAGAAGAAGAAAAATAAACAAGAGGCGCTGATTACTCAGTAGGGTGTGCAAAAGAGATGGGAGAAGAAGAAAAATAAACAAGAGGCCTTCTTGTAGGGATGTGTCTGACGATTCTCGATACCACCAATTTCATATTTCCTACAAAACTTAGTCGTATACAACAAAATACAGTAAAAGGAATACCATCAGCGACGTATTTGCTTGCGTTAACGCACGAAACACGGCTAGCCCATGAAAAATCTGACTGTTGAAACATAATTTCCACAATAAGAAAATTCAGAGATATTGCACTTTTAATAGACAATTTAATGACAGACAATCACATTTTATACAGCCAACATGAAAATATTGTGCTCATTTCTCAATTGTAATTTCTTCTGAGGAGACTTGTAGGGAAGAGATAGTAGTAAGTTATCAGGTTCGTTTGGAAAAGATGCTCTCAAATGAAACTATTTTAAAACAAATTTTTGATAGACACACTCGCAGTTGTGGTAACCAAGTAGGTAGAAAAATACCTGATATGAGGTGGAATACACAAAGAATTCGCCCAACCGCTAACAGTTTTATTTCCATCCTATTTATCAGCTGTTGGAGCTCAAATGGTTAATGGATATTTAGTAGGTTGGCCTACTAAAAAACGTTCATTAAACCGATAAGTGAGCAGTTTAATATGATCCAAGATGAGATATTCATCAAAACATATTAGGCTAATAATATTTCATTGTGATACAATAAGTTAAGATACGATTTGAGGATTGCAAAACAGAGGACATTTAATTATATGGAAAGTCCTATATCCTTTAACACAATGACGTCTCAACTGAACTATCAGTAAATAAGCGTCTCCAACAAAAATTTGCCAGAAGACAGAAACCACTCAAATAAACTCTTAGAATGCAGGCTTTTCTCTATTATATTTTAAATATGAGCTGGCTTTGGTGAGTTACTTCTTGCATGTACGGCTAATCTACCTAAACCAACAATTAAAACAACAATTTAATATTTGATAATCAGCAGAGTGGGTATGCCTATTATATTTAGCCTAAGTAGCCTACAGGATACAAACAAATAAATGTTTTCAACATTCTTGCCACCAAGGCAAGGAGCACCTACCTTGCCTTGTCGGTGTTGAATTAGGCCTACTTATGTAAAAAAGTGGTGTAGCTTGTCCTTTTTCAGCCTTAGATAGTCTTAAGACTGATAAAGAACAAGGTACCTACCCTAACCTTTTTCATATAAATACATCAACAGCTGATATTTTTAACTCTTCTTCTTTCTTCAACCATTTGAACTAAAAAAGAAGGAATCAAATGCTATAAAATTCTGACTGTCCGCAACTTGCCCAGGATGTGCAATTAGCAGTCTGGCGTCAGGGCCGTTGTGTGTGTAGGGCGACCAGATGTACGTTGTATGTATTTATTGATTAAAACTATATATTAATAGACAAGCTTGTTTCTTTAAAACCTTTTTTCTCAGCTAGTGTGCATCGCAGGGCAAATCTATGCATACTTTTAGAATAGTAGGATTACGTTACTAGTCCTGAAAATAAGTATTTACTTAACGAGTGTGGTCCGTTCGGACAGAGCTCAGGTGTTTCACAGAGAGCACCAGAACCCACCTATTCGGAGACACTGTCTGTGGAGAAGATCGCTATCACCAAATCTGAACACCCGGACAGGAAACTGACGGAGGGTAAAGCCAATAAAGTCAAGGGGGAGCTGTCCAGATGGGTCATTCGTGGCAAAGACATCAGGATAAGCAGCTGCCATCTTAAAGGCGGAGTCTTGGTAGTTGGCTGTGCTAATGCAGCCACAAAGGATTGGCTGGTCAAGCAAGTTCAGGAGCTGAGTCTCTTCAGGGAAATTTCGCTACAGCTTGCAACAGCCAGAGACCTATTGAAAGCTGTGAAGGTATATTTATGTGCCCAGCCCTACATGGTCTGCGTATGAGATCCCTTGGCCTATTGACAGGAGATCAAAGGGAAGAACAGGTTACCATAGTCAAAAGGTTCTCACGGTTCACTAAGGACCTGGGATTTGACGGAGAATGAGGACCTGTGAATGAGGGTGCACAATAAGCTGTTCTAGCTGTGATGCAATCCCATGGTCGCTTGTAAGCCTGGCCCTCTATTAAAAAAACCCCTCCACCAATCCCTAGCCCAATCACTCCTTTCTCCTACGGCGTCGGCAGACTCAGCTCAGCTCAGCTGTCAGCTTAGTTTGATGATAAGAGTTATTTACATGAATATTGTGTCAGTGTACATTCAATTTGCATTGTATTAATTAATAATATATATAGTACTTTTTATAGGTTTTAATAATTTCTTACATTAATTGTATGGATTTGATTATCATCAACTAGAAAATATTTTTATCAAAAATTTAAGTACCTAATATAATCCCTGATTCCTGAATTTAGGCTAGTATTTTTGTAAGGTATCCTTTAGGTGTCTGTTTGTTATGAATTAAAACGCTGATAGTGATGCAACCCACTACACACACAGCTTTGTATAACGAGCATCATACTCATTACGTGTTTGGGGGGGGGGGGGGCCTGACAACATCCCGCCCCGGGCGCCAATGAACCACGCGATAGCCCTGTCTGGCATTGGTGAATTAACAACAATCAAAATGAAAATTTGTCTATATCTGCTAGTATAATAGATCATAAACTGTTACAAAAAACTTAATTTGTTAGCACAAGGACTTACTGGACATGGCAGCAGCCTGTGGTATAAATTATCCACCGCCACCACCAGGTAATAATTTTCTAAAAAAGACCTTTTAAAATATCGTAGCTTTTAAGTTATTACTATGATTATTGCTATATTTAGATAGGTAGAAACTAACTATGAAGAAGTTTAGGTACCGTACGGAGAGTTATTTCCAACAAAAACATGTTTCCTTATTTAACTTAACTTTAATGAAGGGGGATTCTTACAAACTGTAAAAATCAGTTATTCAGCCGTTTATGTTTATTCCAACGGACATCTCCAATTTATTAAATGACAGATCAGGAAAGTAAAGTTGCTCAGGATGGCTGAATATAAAACACCCGAGACATAACATGAAGTATAATTAAATGCTTAGTAAAATGTGCGTTTTTTTAACAAATTTTAATCTAATAGGTCCCCTAGGTCCTTAAAATATTTCTAGACACTTCGATGACTATGCCAAGTTGAGAAAAATATAGAAAAAAGGAATTGTACCTATCTCTAATTCATTTCAGGTAAGAGATTCGCTAGGGCTTGAAAAAATTTAGTTAATGAATTAACATCCAAGCAGGCCTAGAACGAGGTTAAGAACAAACTTCTAAGTAAACTAAACTAAGCTTTCACCGGCCTACTAAAGTTATCTTAGGCAAGTCTTAACGATAACTATATGAATTCATTTATTTTCAAACAGAAGAAGGTTCAAGGTAAAACAGAAAAACATTACACTGAATATATTGGTTAGCCTTGGAAGGCTTGTGCTGCATGATAGCCTATTGACATTTAGCATGTTCTTTGTTTCATAGGCCTATTCTAAGTCCTTATTTCCAAGATAAGCAGCTAGGTTAACCAATTAAATTGTTGCTCAGTAATGTAAATGGTTGATTTACAAACCCTGTATGGTGGAGGAGGTCCAAGCTGGTCTGTGGAGGTTGAATCAACAGGATTATCTCCCCTCAAGAGCGATATGTCGTCTGCTGAGGAGCCTTTTAGACAGTTACCCATTTTCTTGACTTATTTCAACATAAGCTCACAAATGTGCATCAAGTCATCCTATTAGTTTCTCAGTTTAAAACCAAAATATGTCATTGCATGTATTCCAAAAAATGGCAAAAGAGTAGATGGATCAAAGAAAACAATTAACAAAAGACATCTGACGTTTATTAGCTTACGTCAACTTTTCCTGTTCCCAATTGTTGAAAAAATCGGAGCACAAACTAAAATTACTCAATTAAGATTAGAATAATGGCTAAGATTTATAATATTTCATATAACCCTAGATACGTCTTTGTCCTCAATCACTAAGCTCAACAAGCCTAAATTGTGCGAAAAACGAAAACATATGAAACATGAGATTAACAATGACACAAGAGAACTCGGTTCGGTGCTGTAGGTTTACTGCTAGACTGGACAAGCTGACACTTTTTTTGAGGTTTCGTTTACAGCTGTTCAGAGTGGTAAGCCTAGAAGATTAAATTCCAACCCTTTTTAGACTAAAGCGTACTATGTTAAGTTCGTTATACATTAATCTTCTAACTTTAGCTGATTATCTTACCAATATACACCCATCCTAAATTTGATTATCTATGAATGCTATTTCGATTTATAAGCATAATAAAAATGTTGCAGAGAAACTCTATTTAATTTTAATTCGGAAAAATATGAAAATTCACAAGACCGAGTGTAAGTATACTGTAAAAATACAGTAACAAAGGAATAATCCATTCCATGAGCTCATATTTCCTAACATGAAAACTAAATTTTTTCCAAGCGATCAATATCACAATATCTCAATTAATTGCTGAGATAATATAAATATAAATATCCCAGTAGTACAGTAAAAGCTGTAGGTATTCATTTAATCTGTTCTAGTCTAGAACCAGCAGACGTCTCCGATTTCATTCGAAGTGGTGACGTGTGGTTATAGACAGTACCGGATTTACCACAAGGCGGCCTAGAGCCGCAAACATAAGGGAGCCGCAGAGGACTGGAAAAAATATTTTTTCAGTACAAACAAATATTAAATTTTTGAGCATCAGTTTGCTGCGACCCCGTGATTTCGGCCAGAGGGATATGTTTATGATTTTTCCGCGGCCATGGGTGTCGATAATGATGCCCCCTTGATTGTGGCCCACGGGAGAGGTTCATGATTTTGCCACGGCCGCGGGTGTCGGTGACGATATTCCCTTGATTTAGAGTAAGTGCTCGGGATTCCTCCGTGATCGTGAGCGACGATGATAATGTCCCGCAATTGTGGCCTGTGGAAGATATCCCCAATTTCGCCATAGTCGCGAGTGCCAATGATTATTATGAAGGATTGCGGATTGCGGCCTTCGATTTCACCGCGGTCACTCTGGTGTTGATGTTCCTGTGATTGCGGCTCGCGGGAGTAGTTCACGATTCCGCCGCGGCCGCGGTTGTCGATAGTGATATCCCTGTGATTGCGGCCCACCGTGGGCCGCCCACGGGAGATGTTCATGATTTTGCCGGAGTCGCTGGTGCCGGAGACGATATTCTCTTCATATAGGGTAGGTAAGTGTTCGGGATTTCTCCGCAATCATGAGTAACGATGATAATGTCCCGCAATTGTGGCCTGTGGAAGATATCCCCAATTTCGCCATAGTCGCGAGTGTCAATGATTATTATGAAGGATTGCGGATTGCGGCCCTCGATTTCACCGCGGTCACTCTGGTGTTGATGTTCCTGTGATTGCGGCTCGCGGGAGTAGTTCACGATTCCGCCGCGACCGCGGTTGTCGATAGTGATATCCCCGTGATTGCGGCCCACCGTGGGCCACCCACGGGAGATGTTCATGATTTTGCCGGAGTCGCTGGTGCCGGAGACGATATTCTCTTCATATAGGGTAAATGTTCGGGATTTCTCCGCAATCATGAGTAACGATGATAATGTCCCGCAATTGTAGACTGTGAGAGATATTCCCCATTATGCCGTAGTCGAGAGTGTCAAAGATGATGTCCCCGTGATTGCGGCTCGCGGGAGAAGTTTACGATTTCGACGTGGTCGCAAGTGTCGATGATTATGTTCCTGTGATTTTGGCTCGCGGCAGACGTTTACGATTATGCCGCAGTAATGGGTGTCAGTGACTATAATATCGTCTTCTTTGTTTTAGGGTAAGTGTTCACGATTATTCCGCGATCGTGGGTGACAATGATGATTTACCCGTGATTGTGGCCCACTGGAGATGTTCACAATATTATCCGTGATCTCTGGTGACGATGATGATGATGACTGTTAGAGATTTTATGATTTTAACGCTAAGAGGGAATTCCACCACAGGGTTGGGGGCCCTCAATTAATTTGGCCTAGGGCCGCAAGTACCTTAAATCCGGCACTGGTTATGTACTTCAACATAACAACATATCAACATTTTTGGTTATGTACCCAACACCACCAGGGACCCATTTCATAATAAACTACAAGTTACAAGTTACAACTTATAACTTGTAATTTTCATTAGATTTGCATTGGGCGATCAGATGATTTACCATTAATAATAGTTTGTAGTTTATTATGAAATGGGCCCCTGGTGGTGTTGGGTGTACAGTGTAGAGCCCCTCATATCCGGCCACCACGGGACCAAGCCCCTGGCCTTATTACGATTTGGCCGGGTACTGGGATTATCTTTAGAAGAATAAACATGTTTCAAAAAGAAAAAAAATTAGTTTTTAAGTAATGGACGTAGGTACTCTACAAATTTTAAAACTATTTTAATAATAATGGAGGTAAAAATGACAATAAATATGCCCTGAAGATCATTAGAACTTAAATGGTACATAACATTTCTACTAAACTTTCTTATCCATTTTGTTAAATACAAAAATTAATGTACTGTACTAACCCCGCTTTGTAAATAGTCAACCAACTGTTCAGAGGTTAGACCTACTAGCTCAACTGAGTATAGTAACACAGTAAATGTACAAACAAACAGAAGAACACTCAAGTCCTAAAGACCAGTGCCTTTATCTGTAAACGTCTGTAAGCTGTGAGAAAAACATTTTGATGTTGGCTTCCTGTAAGGATCGGATAAACAGAGGACCGGTAAAACCAAGGCCAGATATCAGGGATTTCTACTAGCTGTTTGAAAATGTGACGAGTTGGTAAAGTTCGGCTATGAATACTGAGCACCTGGAAATAATAGTTTCTAGGTATTTGAGTTCTGGGGCCCATTTCATAATAAACTACAAGTTACAAGTTACTAATTTCCATTAGATTTGCATTGGGCGATCAGCTGGTTTACTAATAATATTAATTTGTACTTTATTATGAAATGGGCCCTGATCACCTGTAGTAATAATTATTAATATAATCTACCGGAATAAAAAGTGCCTGACGCAAAGGTTTGAAATTATGGTATTATCTCTATTCATAATCTTTTTTGTATTTCTAATATTATTGTAACTCGCATTATAACTGAATATTTTGTCATCATAGTATAACATTATACTATGATTATAATACGAACATCATATTACATTACATAATGTAATATGATTGTTACACTTACATTGAGTTTTGCGAACTAAACTATAAACTTTATTTTGTTTCTGTATATTCTCTGACTGTATTTCAATCACAATTTGATTCACTTCACTAAGTCATATAATATCCAGTGCTGCGCTAAATTTGCTTAGTTTTCCATAAATATGTATGTTTATTAATACAAATATTTGTTGTACTCTATAATCTACGCTTTTAACCATATCTGCAACTAAGCTAGATAGTTCGCTTTAACAACTACCTTTTTTGATAGAAAAAAGTGAAATCACCATCAATGGAAAGGAATGCTTGCTTTGCATCGATGTTATAATGTTGAATTTTGATGGTGGGTGTTGGAAGTGGAGTGGGGCCGAGCTTTCAACTTCAACAAGAGAGCTGTCGTATGCCTGTTCTGTGTTCTGTTGTTTGTTTGTTGCTTTTCGTCCCTAGCTTATAGCTTAACAGTACGTGTCCGCGCTCGCGTCCTCAATAATTGTTTGTTTATTATGAAGATCGGATATTTTTACGCTGTAATCAATTGTGCTTAACATTTGTGATCCTCAAGTGTAATTATTTGTTCACAGAGATGTGTCAAGTGAATTATGGATGGAGCAACTTTAGGTGCAGGTTAATCCTGAAAGCCTCTTATTTTAGGTTATAAGTGCATAGTGAAGTGTTTTTTGTAGAATATGTAATATTTATTTTTAGCTATTATAATGAATTCGAGGCAAATTCAGTCATTCTTTAACAACTCAGCGGCTATACGCCAGGAGATTCAAAGATTTGAAAGTGTTCACCCCTCTATTTATGCAATATATGATTTAATAGAACTCATACCAGACACTTTGATTGCTCAGCAAATCCGGGATCATGTCGTCTGCATTGAAGGTATGTTGGACCTATAATACAATATGTAAGTTACAGGCTAATTAAGTTAACTTAATCTATAGCCATCAGGTGGTTATTTAAGGTTAGCCTAAAAACAGAACACACATCAGAAGACATACCAAAATCTGCTGGCTATTATTTTTCTCACCTTTCACAATTTTATTTTTGAGGGATTTTCGTAGAGGAAGAGGTTTCAGAGGATATTTTTTAGTTACTGTAGTATCCTTTTCATGTAGTATTCCTTTTCGGGGGTGGGATGGTCCTGTCTCTGAGCACGGACGGTATGGTTATCTTGAGTGTGGGGGGTTCTTCCCGGAACCTCAATTGAGTCAAGGGTGTCGCCACCTCTGGTGGATAGGTTCATCCGGGTGGGTCCCACTTCTATACCTGCCTCCTTTTGGGAAACCCTGATGGCCTGGCAGTGATGTTGGGTCTGACGGGCAAACGAAGTAGATCGGGTGCTGGGTCCGAGCCCGCCAGGGGTATCTGGGGATCTATCGCTCTGGTTATCTCTGGTTTCCCAGCAATGGGTAAGGCCTCGATCGGGCAGCGGTGTAAATGGGAGGTTGGGGTTCCCCCCGTCAGCGTGCTGATGGTCCCCTTCCTCCTGGCTATTGATGGCGGGTTCTGCCTGTCAGGGATTAGATAGGTCCCGAGTGTTGTTTGCACTAAATGCGTCGGGGCGCTCTACCATGGACCTCTAGGTCCCGACCTAGTGGAACCCAGGTGGAGTGACGCTTAAACAAGCAGCCGGAATCCCTGGTTAGGATTGAGGGGCAACCCTCCTTCCGAAGGGTCTGCTTCGGCAGCCGGCGAGCCTGATGACCTTAAGTCATCCGCCCATGATGTGCTAAAGGTTGATGCGTAAGCTTCGGCCTACATCATGGGGCCCGGGTATGTCCTAAAGGATAGGTACCGGGTATGCAGTCAGGGGGCTTCGGCTCTCATGACAACAATAAATGTAAATGTAATGTAATGTAAATGTAGTATCCTTTTCAGTCGTGGTCTATGTACATCGTGGCCATTAGTAGGAAAATAACCAAATGTACGCAGTCAATAGACCATTGACTTTTGCACTTATGACAAGAAGAAGGTAAGGATGGCGTTAGATTGGTTGTTGAGGAGAGTAAGGAAAGGGAGTGTGATCTCGAGCATTTGGTGATCCCAAGCATTTCAACTGTTGACAAATTCATAAACATTAAACACCCAAATCGAGTAAGCTTGATATATGCCATCTTCTACAACTTGCTTTCTCTTTAAGTAATTGTTGTATCTTTTTACAACCTTATCCCTAAAAAATCCGAGGTTACCCACAACTTGACAGTGGTATACCTGTCAAGTTGTATCCCTAAAAAAATGAAGTTATTTACAACTTGACAGTGGCGTTCCCATCAATCTGTATCCATAACAAAACTGAGGTTTCAACTTGTCAGTGGTGTTCCCGTCAAGCTGTATCCATCAAAAATCTGTGTTTTTAACTTGACAGCTGGCGTACCTGTCAAATTTATATCCTCAGATTACAACTTGACGTGTAGCCTACACCACTTTTAAGTTTTATCCTTTCTTTTCTGTGTCAAGTTGTATATCCACGTCAATTTCACACCTTCCAAAATGGTTAAGTTTACTGTAATGATTGAGTGTTGGCAGATTAATAAATGTGGCAGTTATTTAACTGTATCCCATTAAAAAAAAAATAATCTGGAGTTGAATTTACAAAAAATATTTTTGATGAATTAGGCTGATTAGGTTGGTTAAATTGAAATAGCCTGGATTAATTGTAAAAAAATAGGTAAATTATATAAATTAAAATTGGTTCCCATGAATTTTATCGGCTACTTTACTTTAAATGCTACTGTTAATTCGTGAGTAGACAAGCATTAACCAGCAAAGACGGCTATTAACCAGCAGTGTAGTGGGGTGGGATCGGGGTTCCCACTCATTTTTAACTAGGGGGTGGTATAGCCTTTATTAGAAAGCAGTCCATATTAAAGTTACTGGGATAAATAATCATTAAGCCTATGTTAAAAACATTCCTAAACACGTCTGTACGTAGGAACAAGCAAGATGCAATCAGTACAGTTCCAAATCTTATTTGACAATTTTAATAGAAGTAGGTAAGGATAAAGAACTCCATTAAAATAATAGTTATTTGTGCAACTAGTGAGAAAAGTGAGCAATTGACTCACTCGAGAGAAATCCTTATACTCACGAGCCGTAGGTGAGTGAGGAATGGTTTCTCGAGTGAGGCAATTGTACTTTAAACTCGAGTTGCACATTATACTTTTCCTACAGTTACCATAAAACAAATAAATTGGTGAAGAAACATAACCTATTTTTACACAGAAGTGAACTTTTAATATAACATTAAATGTGAAGTGACAAATACAACAGTACAACAGCTGACCAGCTGATTTACAGCCAGTGCTGTCAACGTATTTCGCGTGCATACGACGTTGCCTGCATGTTACGCGCTCACTATTTTGTGCCTTCACGTTGCAAATCTGGAGTGAGACTAAGTAATTAGAGTGAGACAATGTTAACATTGTCTCACTAATGAGCGAATTGGCCACTTTGCTTTCTCAAATCAGTGAGAGAACATGTACATTGTTAAATAACTGTAGGAAAAAAAAAATATTTTTTTCATACTTCCGTAGGCCCCGAAAGTAGCCTAACTATTTTTGATAACAGCTTATATCAAAGAAAGTAGGTAGGTACTGTACCAGATGTTTCACAAGCTCTAGAGCGAGGGAAAAACGATCAGCTGATATTCCCTCGCTCTAAATCACATTCCCTCCAATTTGTTTTAGCAAATTTCCCTATAGGGAAGTAGCTATTACCGTAGGTGGCACGGTAAGACCTAGGCCCGGGACCGATTTACTTTTTCATTTTGGTATCCACCGAGTCCAAAAACTTGATTCGTTCAAATTTTTATTTCAAAATATATTTCAAAAATATATATATACGTCCGTGAACGCGATAACTTGAGTAATTTTTGTCCGATTTTGATGAAATTTGGTTTAAAGGTGTAAGGCGGGATAAACTTGAATGATTTCGCGAACCATAATGATTGGGACCATGGAAACAGGTTTTACGAGGGTTTTTATGGGGTAAAAAATGGTTTTTCTAATTTTTGACCCTCAAAATACAAAATTTCCCAATTTCTCTCTAGGCCCTACACCTTTTTAAAGAGCTTAAAAAACGAATAATTTAGTACATCAAAGTGTTTTTGTACGGTTATTGGTAACGGAACAAATTTTAAAAATTGTAAAAATTTAAAATTCCCATGTTATTCTTATGGTGAATATATTGTAAAATGTTGTAGTTTGCTTGTCTATGGATATATTTTGATCAAACTTGGCAAATTTATTTATTTTATACTAAGCTATTTTTATTTTACTAAAAAACACACTTTATTAGTTTCCTTGTAGCAGCAAACCTAGGTACTCATTAAACCTAATGTTATTTAAACAGCTTAGATTTAATTGAAAATCAATTCAGACGAATGGAAATTCGCTTAGTCGGCAGGTTTGCTGCGGCGGGGGTATTATTACTTTCCCTTGCCCTCGATTAGTTCTCAATTCATCCACTACGCAAGCTAGTGTTTTGTTACGGTTTATTTTAATGATTAAAATCAGCCGTTTTCATTGTTGCACAATCTAAATGTAGCCTATACAGAAACAGGCATTAGTTTGTTTCGCTGTGTTTTAGCATAGTGCGTGTTTGAAATTGTTCAAATTATGTCTGTCATTCCTGACAATTTGATGGAAACAGCTTCAGAGGTAACCAATCACCTTCCACCCAGAGAAATCACAGAAAGATATGAAAAGGAATACAAAAAATTTACAAACTGGGTGCAAATTACAAACTTTTAAGTCAATTTTTAATCTATAAAAATCTATAGTCATGAAACCATGTATATTGTGAAGTAGATTTTCAAAGATAAAGAGTGGTCTAAAACTATTTTAATACTATCGGTGAGGAATGTATATGATGCAATGTATATGAGTGTTTATGTGTCGTGATGAAAAGTATCGTTCATATCTTGCACCGAAAGTTATTTTCCGACATTTGCTCCATTATTTCCGTCTTTGGTCTTATTGTACCGTACGTTAAAATAACTCTCACATGCTCGGCTTCGCCTTGCATGTAAAATTTGGTTTTTCTGATTTTGGCTTTGCCTCACACATGAAAGTTGAGTGTGTGCCAGAAAATGCCACTTTCGGTCTTAGTAATGAAATATACTATTTCATGTGAGAGATTGAAGAAATTAGTTCTTAGTTAAGTCAAAAAGTAAGTACCTACTGAACCTCAACTTTTGTTAATTCATGACAATAGCTCTGTGGTTATACAATCCACCATGTTGTTGACTGAACCACAAGCCCACCAAGCTTTCCTGTATTAGTATAACTACGACCAATACATAAGTAGGTTATAGATAATTTTAAGCTTAATGTATTGTGTTCATTTATAAAAATATGTTTGAAAATGAAAGTGTAAAAACCTTTTTTTGTGGGTTTTTAATGACCACTTGTTTATTTGTATTGAGGCCCAGAATTTATCTTCCTCTGTAGGCACCAGATTTTGATCAGCAATTCCCTAAATTGTAACATGTTTTCAATTATTATTATTTTTTTGTGGCCGAGAGAAAAGAATCATTCTTCCTAATTGAACGTTTTAAATTTTTGTTTAAATTGTTTTTAAAGTGACCCACAAGATTAACAAAGGTAATCCAGTGAGTACAATAGCCTACAAAAAGTTTCTAATTTATCTTCAATACAAGGAATCTTTTTTAAACCTATCATAACCTTTTTTTAGCCTTAGTCCATAAATAATATTCTTACAGTTACTACAGAAATAATTCATATTTTATTTAAAGCTTGCACTCAATTCTTTACCAGAGTTGCAGATTCAAGCGTAGTCAGTGTTTCTATGATTATATTCTGCTGAGCTTGCAATTGCATGATGGCGATGCTAGATAGGTACCCTACTATTCTCCAAGG